TTTAAAACTTTCTTTTGGATTCAATAAATTGTTATCTCCAGCCTTTCCTTTTCTATGTTTTTTTCCCTTTTTATTGAATATTTGGCTGTGGTATCAATCATTTTAGACCTCATTGAGTATTCATCCTAAGTCCCATAGCTATCAATTAGTAGCTGCCGATTGAACATTTGCGCTTGAAACAGGAAGAATCACGCTATCATGCGAGAATAGTGGATTTTCTCTTAATATGCCGTGTCTAAACTCCAATTCCAGATATATTCGTAAACTTTAGTTGACCTATTGTCTTTCCAATCACATAAATTGGATATAGGAAATTGGACTAATAACTCTTCACCTTCATATCTTTTTATCAGTTTTGAAATGATGTGTACACTAACCAGACAAATTGACCCACAGATCCAATTCTATCAGTTGGATGAGCGTGATTCCAATCAAAGGGCTGAGGATTTATATGCAATTCAACCAAATATCAAGGGGCATTAAGAGCAATATTCCCAAACATAAATATAAAGTGATATCATCTTTCCTAACCCAAAACGACTAACAAACACAAAGTAAAAACTCGTCTTGACAGAGTGTTTTGGCAGGTCTCCTGCAACCTTCCTCTAAAGGTACCTTGATATAGGGGCTTGTCACACGGTAAATCCTGCAAATTTACACTCTTTACACAACATTTTCTTAACATGAAATTTCCAGCTACACATAAAAGTTATAATTTAGTTTTTCTCTTTGTCTTGTTTGTATTGACTTATTTTCTGCATAAACAAGTGAAAGTTTGAGTCTTCAAACTGTTTCTTGCATGATCAGATGCTGTTGTTCATTCCCCATGAAGCTTGAAAGATGGGAAACAAAATAGCATTACAAAGAATCAATCTTTATGTAGAAGATTAAAATATGAAAGCAATCATTTCTTATTGTTCTTACTGCTCGCTGTGTCTGTAATACAACCTTGGTTTTGTTTCATATTTTTCAAGTTATTGTTTTTCCTTGCTAAATGGGTTTATGTTTGCCCCAATGTTGTTGCCTGAAGTTTGATGGAAAGTGGGAATGAATGCAAGAGGCTAATCAATGTGCTGCTCTAGGATTGGGAAATTTGCTACATTTGGGACTTGTTTATTGGTGTTTCAATGTAGAGTTACTGAAACCTTTGGATGAATTCATCACAAAATTAAATGGCTTAATTACAAGAACCTGCTTCGAACATATCGACATGCACTTTTCAGACTCTAGGATTTGGAATTTTGCTGTATTTGGGAATTGTTTTTTCATGTAGAGTTACTGAAACCTTTGGATGGATTCACCACAAAATTAAATGGCTTAATTACAAAAACCTGGTTTGAACATATCAACATGCCCTTTTCAGATTACTACATCCTACACAAACTATGGCAGCTTTTCGCACTTTTCTGCTTTCCATGGTGGTTTCTTATTTCTAATGCTTTATGGTGTCAGGAGGGAAAGCATACATTTTTTGTCGGGAATAAAAGTAAGCTTGCATGTGTGAATTTTGTGACATGTTTATTAAGGATTTTGTTGTTTAGTCAAGTTTAACTGCTGACGTTGATTTGAGAAGTAGAATGTCATTTTCTTTTACTAAGGTGAAATCCTGGTAGTATGGGATCTGAGTGTGACTGAGTTTGAGCTGCATATTATGAGGAACCAATCATCAATATGCAGTTTATAACTCAAATGGAAAATACAATGTGATCAGGCTTATGGATTTTTAAACTTTAATGTCTAAAAACTTGTGACTACGACGGAAATGATAGTCTGTAGAAGCCAACTTCATTATTCTAGCAATAAAAAATCTTTGTTTTGAATATGTGAACTGTTTTCTCCAGAAGAGATTTTATTTATTGCATTTCAATAGAAAATGAAGGTTAACCTGATAACTTGATTGGGGCAGAGACAGAAAAGGTAATGGCTGCATTGCTTGCACCAAACAAGTAGATCTGAATAATAGTCTTCATCTTTTATGGAGAAAATTTTTGCCGTAAACACACAATAGTCCCTTATTTAGCATACCCTAGGGAAGTAGTGTCTGTTGATGTTTCTCTTTTCGACCAAATGCTCACAAACATTTGGTCCTTCTCTGGAACTCATCAAATTAGGACATTTAACAAATAATTAGTACAAATCATAGGAATTTCTGTGTAATTTAGTAAAATTGGGTACATCAAGCTAAGGATGAGCTGGTTTCTAGTGAATCTCTGACCTTTGCCATTCAATGATAATAATAGTTTTACCTAACAAGGAAAATGTTCTTCTCAGTTTCTATTTGTTTCTCATTACTGATTTTTATTTTTCTTATAATTTCTAAGAAACAGGCCTCATTACTAAAATGCACATCATACTAGCTGCATATAAAGCTCATAGCTTCAACCTGGAAACAGAGCTGGATGCATTACCAGCTAGATGAAGTTGTCTGCCATTTGCTGCACGCATGAGAACACATATAGGTGCTAATTTCTAGGTCGAAGCTCAGTTATCTCAAAATTAATAGTTCCACATGTCAGTTGTTTAGTTTCTGATGGAAAATGGGGTTTAGGTTATATAGCATGCTGTTTTCTATTTAGGCTACAAAAACAGAATGTGCACCTAATATAGTGCGTTGTTTCCTATTTAGGCTACTAAAACAGTGTGTGCCTTATATAGCGTGTTGTTTTGCTGTTGAGGCTATTAAAACAGAGTGCGCCTTATCTAGCCCACTGTTTTCTATTTATTCCACTAAAACAGTGTTCACCATATGCAAATTAACGCCGCAGTTTTACTGGAATCCATCTATAAATATTGCATTTTCTTCTAAAATCTGTAGGTGTTTATGTTCTATATTATTCTCTATATCCTTCCTAAATCACTCTTTACATTGATCGTAGTTAGTTTTCATGTCATGATCATGGAAGAAGACCAAGATGAGGTGATGCATTCGTTGTAATGCCAATGCATTTCAAAGATCGGATCAGTGATTTACCAGAAAAGTGTACTCCAGGTGACAACATTCATTTTAAAGTTTTGATGAGAAATTTTTTCTTAAAATCGGTTACCCTTTAAAGCTTTGTTTGTATATAGATTATTGGATCTAGGTGTACTTATATATATCACATGATGAGATTTCCCTTATCCTTCTCTTCTTTTCAGCTTGCATTAATTGATTTGTGGATATGCATCTTCAAACTGATTTGGTGGTGTCCGGATCATATTCAACTTCAAATTTATTCATTTTGTATGCATTATATGAGTATTTATTCTGCTTAAGGTGTCATAGGGGCTTTTGAACTAAAGCGTCTAATAGTGGAAATAAGGCATAGTTAGCTATTGTGGTGAAATGTAAACAGTAAGTACCAGAGATCATGGACATCAAGTACTGGAGTGATTCATTTCTATTTTGTGTCCTCCCTCCTGGTTGCAACCTATTTTGGCAGCCTCATCTAAGTTTTAACACCTGTAAATTTATGGATTAGGTTATTGAAATGCAAAGTTTTTCTGATAGAGTGGCTGTAGGAAGCATTTTATCTGATAAAGGGAGTCATTGGTGCAGGTGAAATAGCAGGGGACCTGTAGCCAGCTGTAAGACTCATGGCTTGTATGGAAGTGAGCAGCCACGGGTGAAAACAGCTAAGGAGTCCTGGCCAGTGGAGAAAACCACAAGGAGTCATGGCTACTGGAGAAAATTGTGATGGTAGAGAAAACAATCGTGGCTTCCAGGTCATTGCTCAAAAACAGCCATCTGGTTCTTACAGGATTCTTGAGGATGAGGAAGAAGAAGATCAATGCTGTTAATTACCATGTGCAATATCATAGTAAATCCCAATGAATACTATGCAAAGGACTGTCTGGATTTTTTTTTCTCCATTCAAACAAAAGATACCACAAGGAAATTACATCTTCCGAGAAGTATACGCATGAAGACTCAACTGCCAGACAAAAGAAGATTGAGCAGAACTTGCATATTGATCCTCGAACCCAAACCGAAAAAAGCATGAAGCTAGGTTATGCTGTTTATCAGTTTGTAAAAGAGTAATTTCGCAATTTTTTTTTAGCAATGCCAATAGATGTAATGAGTTGTGAAATTCACCTCAATTTATCTTATTAGAGACCTCAGAAACTGTTATTGCCTCACTGCATTCTCTTTTGCATTATTATGGCCTTTATCAATTGTTCTTACTGCTCAAATTACCATTGTTGATCTATATAACAATATACCAGATGCATAGTCATGGTTTCAGAAATCAATAAACTGCATAAAAAGTTTTAGGTGTTGCACAAGAAATGTTTGGACTTGGCAGTGCCCAAGAAAGGGAATAATGGTTTCATTGATAGCAAAGAAACAGCACGAGCATATTAGCCCTGAAAGAATCACACAGCTTGCTGTAGACCAGAAAACAGATGGAGTTTCATATTTCAAGTACCATTGCCACATCTCAAGATATCATACAATGCTATAGCAGTGTAGAAATTGATGAAGAAACAGTTCAATGTGGAATAACAAAATTGCAAAACTCAATTGAACAATTCTGGCATGGTAGTCTTTCCTCTTACAATGCCCATCTACCTCTTCTTTTACCTCTCCTTACAGTCTCCACCATTGAAGAAGAAGAAGAAACCTTGGTTTCTTTAATCCATTTCATTGCTTCATTTCCCCTTAACCCCAATCCTACCAAAACTCCTACACAACAAAACCCAAAAATCCAATCTTTAAGCCCTCTTCTCCACTCCTTAATCAAAGCAACCAGGAAAAAGCCAAAACCCAAACCCCCAAAGAGCAATTCACTTCTTAACTCTTTTCCAAACAACAAAAACAGAACACAAAACCCTAAAAACCCCAAGAATCCTAAAATTTTCTTCCAATTTCTTCTTCTTGTTCTTCTTCTCCATCCAGTAAAGCTTCCTCCTTTAAGACCATTCAAAAACTCGAGTCCTCCTCCATCTGCACCAACCAAACTTTCGACGACCAGATCCAACGGTTGTGGTAAGATCTTGAGATTTGAAGCCAAAATTGAAATCAATTCAAGCATGAATTTCGTTGGTCTTTCAGACCCATATCTCCTTTTGCTTTGTCTTGCACAAATAATTGTTTTTTGGATCTGGGTTTTATGTGAAAACAAACCAGAAGGTGTAAAAATTGGAGATTTTGATGAACAATTGAAACTTTGACGAGAAATAGTCGTTTCAAGGAATGGGTTGAAGATGAGATTGTTTTCCAGGTGAAGAAATTGGGATTTGAGTTGAATGGTCTTCTGCATTGTTAGCTTCTGAGTTAGTTCTTGAACATGAATGGGTGGGAAAAGGAAAAGGAAACAGAAGCAGACACTGCACTGTACCCAAAACAAATTGAAAATGTGAACGTTGTTCTTTCCTTTTTGAATTTTTTTGAGCGGTACAAGTTGCGGCGGATGAGCCGATCAGGTGATAAAACTCCTTTTTAACCATAGACTTTATAACTGTTCGTTGCTAATCAAGATGACACTAGTAAATATTTAAGTGTTCGTATTATTTTCAATTTGTGAGTTATATTTAATGGACAAAATCGAATAAATAAGTTGATTCGGATTGTAATATTTGATATCAAAGTCAATTTTAGGTATTAATGATCGATATTAGTGATGTATTATTAAAGACAGTGGAAGAGAGTCACAGTGTTAAGATATTAGCAATATATCATTAAAAATAATACAAAAGATATGTGAATCTCACAATGCAAACTATGACATTTGATATCAAAAGTGATTCTAGGATTTTGTATTAGAATAAGTTTTATGATATTAATGATGCCACGGAAGAAAATGGATGAGGGTTTAACTTTAGGGTATTTGTGACGCATAATTAAAATATAATTAAAAAAAGAAATAAATCTCATAATAGATGGTGTGAATTGTGATTTGGTATTAAAGTCGATTTTGAATTTAGTATCAAAACTAACTTTGTGGCATTGGTAATGGGTTATCCATGATGTGCTACTAATAATAGTGGAGATGAGACATGAATTTTTATTGATTGTGTATTAAAATACGATTGAGTATGTTGATGTTATACCTCTCCATTTTATAGTCACGAAGAGTAAACTGTTTGTCATTAATTAATCGTAATTCAAGAAAAAAAAATAAAAATTTATTTAATAATTTTAAAAATATTTTTAAAATATTATGTCATAAATTAATATATACATTTTTAAATAATTTTGAATTTAAAAATTATCCATATTTATTTATTTATTTATTTATCTAGTTAATTTAAAATTATTAAAATTTTAACCATAAATTAATTTTAATTTATCAATAATAATAATAATAACAATTTTGATTTGCACGATCATAATTGGAAATGAATTAGAAGTAGCAAAGTCATGTTTAATTCCTCGAAGCCCAAAATTTTTATTGGGCGTAATTTTTTTCAAACCTGGCCCACTTCCCAAACAAATATTGGGCCTTATGTCCCGTCAATACCTGACAAAACCACCTGTAAAATACGAAACCAGAGAGCTTCGGAAGAGCAGAGGTAACCGTAGTGAAATCCCGATGAATCATGAAGAAGATGCTAAACAAACCGGGTCTTGCCCTTCGCAACAAGACTTCAACCCGTGTCCAATCTGCCTAGGACCCTTGGTTCAGGAATCCTATCTCGATACATGTTTCCGTACGTTTCTCTTTCTCTCTCTCTGTTTATGTCTATGAAATTTGAATTCTTGGCCTTTTTGGTGAAATCATGCTTCAATTTTCATTTGGGTACTTTTTTTTTTGTTCAGTTATGAGTGCTGAATTAATAAAGTTGTGATTTTGGTTTAGTTTTCCGGGTTGGGTACTTAAGTATTTTGATATAGGAGGAACCCTTTAGGTAGAAATATTGAAAGCTGCTTAAATGTTTAATCTTTGGTCTGGTAAAAGATAATAGATTGATAAAGAGAAATTTTTAACATATTTCTATTTCAATTGAATGTAGATTTGGCAGAGCTTGGTGGATATTGAATAGAATTTGAAATTTATTGACTCGGGAAGACTGTTTATTGGCATTGTTTTTGGTTAAATGAACAGCTTGCATATAATGTATGTTAAACTAGTAAATTATGTCGGCAGATATTTGGAAATGTAGGCTGCTTATCCTTGATTTGGTGGCAAAAGTTTTGATTCACCGTTCTCAATCTGTCGTGGCAGATAAGTTTTGTTACAATTGTATTGTGCATTGGAGTAGAGTGGTTGCTAGCAAGCGATCCCGCCCATCTTCCTCTGTGAAATGTCCTCTATGCAAGGTTGTTTTCATTCATAACTTTTTCATGCCCCATACATTCATTTTGATGAATGTTGGAGGACAAGAGGGTTGGTTGTTGATCTCTTTGTCAATTGTGTTTAGACATGATATTCATGCAAAATTTTGTCTCTCATGGTGCTATGGCATGACAAATTTGCAGACTGAGAATTTTTCGGTAATCAGTGGGTTCGATGGAACTTGTTTTCAACGGCATTATATAAATCAAGATTTTGAGAATGGGTATCTTATTCTGTCTATTGGTTTTCTTAAGTTTCATTTCGTATTATTAGATCTCTTTATTTGGCCTACCTTTTTCTGGTATTTGCAGATTCACCTTTTCAAAAGCACACAAGTATAGATTACAATGCTATTACAGTGAACCAGGTTTTTTACCATTTGTCATTTTGGTTAACTTTGTTTGTTGATTTTTCTCTGTTCTTTGTTTGATTTTTCCTGGTGAAACCACTGCTATTTATGTATATGAGTTTTTCTGTAAACTGTGTTTTCAACCAGGTATCGTAAATGACATATTTGATGTATTGCGATTTTGGAAATCTCGGAAGTATCTTCAGTCAAATGTGTGGCTTCACAGTTGGTTGAAAAGGGAACTTCAAACTTTAATGCAGGTCTTTGTGTTTTCCATGTATATTTACTTGCAAGTTTGGATATTCCAGAATAGTTGTATTCTTTATTTATGTCAACATCTTTTTTGAGCATGATGCGTGATCAAAATTTATCAAACAGAAATGCTTAGAAGAAATATATCATCTGGCTGGGAATATGTAATGACTTGCTCTTATTGGGAAAATCGTTTTTGTGCAATGAACTAAGTAAACTTCCTTTGACACTTAATTTTAGGAGGAAGATGTTGACGTGGTTGTGCATCACATACATGGTGTGATTAATTCTTTCTTGAGAAGGTAATATTCATTACTACCTACTCATTTAGTTGTATGAAGTGCACCTAGCTGGGAACCAATTCACTGGTTCAATCATTGGAGTCTCACCTGGTTTTGCTTTTTCCAGAATCGAACAGACCCATCTATTAAAGAAACCTGCTGAAGCAAAACAAGACGACTTCAGGACGGCTGTCTTTGATGCAGCAAAGCCATTTCTACTAGCAAGAACAGATCGATTTGTGAATGAGCTGGAGTTATTTCTTGCCTCGGGCTTGAACATTGATGCTTATGATGCAGTTTATATGCAACGCTTGGGTTGGAACACTCCAGGAGGAACCACCAGCACTAAGCCTGCAGAAGAACCTAGTCAACATGTAGGAGTGGTTCCATACTTGTTTATCTTTGATGTAGACTCTGATGAAGCTGAATGAAATTTCCATTTCTAATGTAAATAGATGTTACAATTGTTCTCATCTAGTAATATTCATGTAGATAATTCTTTGATGCTTTTGCTCCCTAACTTTAAAAAAATAAAAAAAGGGGGCAAGCGAGCAACAGACGCAGCACAATATTTCCATAAAAAATGATGCTGACAGGGCACCTAACCTAGGGGTGTACCTTGGAACTAACATTCCAAGCGGAACAGGTGAGCTTGCGGATAAACCTATATGAAAACAAACCCTTAGGGCGTATCAATGATAAATCTTTGACGTGGACTCGAGGTACTTGCACCGCCTTCAATTCAATCAAATATCCATAGTTTCCTGCTACCTTTGGTTCAATATCTGGCTGACTCAATAGTCATCACATCTTCACATCACATTTGTTACTATTTATACCACGCATGCAGATATTTCTTTAGCACAGTAAGTGAAAGGTAAATTCAGCAACTATGACTCCTAATTAGAAAGCAGCAAAGGAGAAAAGAGTCCTTAGAGAAGGAATTGCATTACTGCTTGAGAATTATGCCAACAAGGAATCTAACATAAGACTAGGACTGGTAACAACACTGTTTTGACTTTTAGCTGGCTTCTGTGCTTGAAATAAAGGGACATGCAGATTAATGAGTTTACTACGCACTTCAAACAAAGATAGCAGCAACAGCCATGGCAAAAAGCTTGGAGTTTGGAGCTTTCATGGAGAAATTTACTCTCCAACCAAGTCCTTCACTGCACCAACTCCCCTTGAGTGGCCTCACTTTTGCTGTTAAAGACATGTTTGTCCCTCTCTATATACATTTTACTTCTTAATGTTTCCTCAATAACATCAATCTTTCTTATATTTGATGGATACACGACAATTAAAGCTTGTTTTTACTTAATTTTTATGCATCTTAATGCTTGTATGCCTATTTTTGGTTTCAGATTATTGGGTTTATGATTTTATCATAGTCTACAAAAAAGCTTGTGTTAGTTAAGTTCATGTACCAAATTTTTATCCATGCCATACCTTCTTCTGTTTATATAGTGTTTAAGTGTATATAGCCTTGAGCTGTATGATATTTCACCTGAATGTCTGCATCTGTCTCCAATCTCTAAGCTAACAAATCAATTTTCAGCTATATATATAATATATTATCTGTATTCTCCTGGAGACCTGATGTGATTTCTTTTTCAATTTCAGTCATTAGTTGTGTTTCCCCGTATTCTCTTATATACTTTGTGTGTTAATATGCGTTTTCAAATCTTTGCAAGCTGACAAATCAATTTCTGCTTTTGCTTACTGTACCTTGTATTTCCCGTTCTGCTATCCCAGTGTTTGAGGCTAATTAGTTTTATGTTTCAATTTGGAATAGATTTGACATAGAGGGATATGTCACTGGCTTTGGAAACCCTGACTGGGCCAGGACTCATTCAGCTGCCACAACAACAGCACCGGCTGTGATGGACCTTTTAAAGGGAGGTGCAACTTGTCTTGGAAAAACTGTCATGGATGAAATGGCCTACTGGTCAGAGTTTTGATGCTAGATTGTGATGACTGCATATGCTTTCTTTTCATAATACTTGTCTGTTGAATATCTGTGTAAATCTTTTATTCAGTATGTATGGAGTAAATAAACATTATGGCACTCCCACAAATCCTTGTGCACCAGATAGGGTGCCTGGAGGATCTTCCAGTGGCTCTGCTGTTGCAGTAGGTGCAATGCTGGTAGATTTCTCCCTAGGTGAGTATTTTCCTTTTCAAATGAGTTGTTGCCTTTCTTTATTTAGCCTCCTCTTTGAAAACAAATTGTTTTGTTTTCTAACATAGGAACTGACACTGGAGCAAGTGTAAGAGTCCCAGCATCATATTGTGGAATTCTTGGATTTCGGCCTTCACTTGGTGCCATCTCTACTGTAGGAGTTGTTCCAATGTCACAGAGTTTCGATACTGTGGGTAAGGCCTAAATGTGAAGGCTTGGGGATAGCAACCTTTTGGAATCTCTTACCTTTCGGTGAAATTCATAAGAGAAATTATAATCTTGATTATACAGTCAATGATGCTGCAATGTTTAGAAACAGTTCAAAGTCCACAAGTTTATTGAGCAAACATATTATCTTGTGAACAATATTTTCCTTGGTATTTGTTCTCTCTCAAGCATGTCCTTGGAGATTTTAGTCCTAATAACTTTTATAAAGGGAAAAGAGTTTCCATATCTACATTTTCTGTGCTGCTAACCATTTTGGTAAGCTATAATACTTCAGGTCAGAACCAAATAACTGTTAGAGCCCTTAATTTCATGGATCACTCTTTTGACCCCAAATTTTCATTTAGGATGGTTTGCTCAGGACCCTGTGATTTTAAACCGCGTTGGACGTGTTCTTCTGCATTTACCTGATGTGGATCCTATCCAACCAAATCAGATTATTATTGCTGAAGATTGTTTCCATCTATCTAGTGTTCCAAGTGATCGAACAGCTCAAATTCTTGTAAAGTCAATCAAGAAGCTCTTTGGAGGTAAGTGATTCTGTAAACTTTGGTAACTACTTTGAAAGCTTGTTCTTCGGCTTGGCTTCTAATGATATAATATAGGATTTCTTTAGGCTTAGAGAGCATAAAGAACTGCATTTATAAATCTGGGTTGTCTGTCAGAAAATGGCTCATTAACAATGTGTTTCTTTCAAGCATCTGATATGAAGATAGATCTTGTCCTGTTAAACATGCCGTCTGATTCTTTGTATTTTGCTACATTTGTGACCAACTTCACTTTGGTACTGAAATCAGGTTGCTTCTTAGTAAGTCAGATCTCACTTTATGTACTTGTAAGTGCAGGTCACTCTGTAAAGCATGTAATCCTTGGTGACTATGTGAAGGACAGAGTGCCAAGTTTGCAGCATTTCATGGATAAGGAAAATCAAGACCAAGAGGATAATATACCATCCTTGGCAGCCCTTTCAAGTGCAATGCGATTACTTCAAAGGTGCAAAACATCTTTGAATTTTTTAATGATATAGTCCACCTGCATGGTAATTTTCATATTATTCAGGATCGTGTATGACTGTAGGTATGAATTTAAGAATAACCATGCTGAATGGGTCACCCAAGTGAATCCACAATTTGGTCCAGGAATCTCTGAGCGGATATGGGATGCCATGAAAGTAACAGGAGAAAATGTTGATGTCTGCCATTCTGTGAGGACTGAATTATGTGCTGCACTTACTGACCTGCTTGGGGTACTCTCTCTGTTACTTGCATTGTAAATGTTTTGCTAGTCTGCTGATTCAAATAAAGCTATCCTAAACTAACCCTGGCTATATTCTTGTGGATGACTGATGCATGATTGCAGCAAAGCTATGACCTAGTTACTAGGAAAACAATAAAGGAAAATTCATATTAAGATATTCATTCTTATAAATCACTTTACTTATATGTACTCTTTAGGATCATGGCATCCTAGCTCTCCCAACAACTCCAGGGGAACCACCCAAAGTGCAAGCAAATCCATCCACATTGGATTTGTTTTTCTCCAAGCCTTTTAGCTTGTTGTCCATTGCTGGAGTGTCTGGATTCTGTCAGGTTCAATCTTGAAAATCCTACAAGTTGTTCTTTTTTTTTCCCCTTTTTCTGGATAGGGATTCCGAAATGTGTTAGTATCTGTTCTATGCAGGTCAGCATACCTCTGGGGATGCATCATAATGTTCCCGTGGCAATTTCCCTAGTGGCAAAACACAGTTCAGATGCATCCCTGCTCAATCTTGTTGAGACTTTATATGACACCCTCAAAGAACAAATCGAACTGCTGAAAGAATAGATTGCTTATGTCAGTGGGTCTTTCATTTCAAAGTAAGTTTGAAGGTTTTATAAAGGCCTCTGTTACATTCTGCGGTAACTACCATAGGTGTTAATTACTGTATCACAAAATGCAGAAGCATGAGACATGGGACACAGTCTGGAGGCATGAATTTCCACGATTCCTATTTCTAGATCCCCTTCCATGGGCAATGTAGAATCCAGAGTTAAATTGTAAAACATATAAGAACATAATTGCTGCTCAGTTTGTATAATGTATCGATTAACTACAGACACTGATGTAAGCTATTGTCTTCAATACCATACCAGTTGGCTTTGATATCTTCGCACTTTTGTTTCTTCTTATAATGGTTTTGGTATCTTTGCCTGTTGATAGTGAGATTCTTAAGAGCTTTATTATACAATCACTTAAGCTCAACGAACCAAGATATGCATAGCTCCTGATTTTCCTCATGTTTACCTCTAACATTCAAGCACTAGATTTCTCATCCACTAATAAAGACACTTGGATGGAAAAAAGTAGATTTAAAGGGTGCAGTCGTTGATGCAGCTAAGCCATTTTTCTACAAGCAAGAACAGACTGATTCGTGAATAAGTTAGAATTGTTTCTTGACATCAATTAGAATATTGAAGCCTACGGTGCAATGATGCAATGCTTTGGTTGGAACATTCCCTGAGAAACCAATGAACCTGAAGAAGAAGAACCTAAATTCTAACACTGAGCTGTATCTCCATGATTTGTTATCTTTGATCAGAAACTCGAGTTAACGGTGCTCCAAGGCCAGTGCAGCACACTTCCACATTGTTAAGTTTGGAAAGGGTAAAATTATGGAACATTATCCTTTGTAAGCCTAGCTTTATATGATATAAATAAGAATGCTATGATTCATTATGACTAGCAATGAAAAACCATTTCTTAAAAGAAAAAAAAAAGTAGTGTAAAACCATGTATGATTTTACATGGACCAATGAACCTGAAGAAGAAAATCTTATGATTTTTCGAAACGTTATGATTGTGACACTCAGCATGAAACTAAGGACCAATCTGAGTTAAGGCTATCGTTGATTCACAATTTCAGGGTAACTCAGTGACTATGTCTTCGATAATCTGTTTCCGAACCTTTTCATAACTGCCAAGACCCGGTCCAACCAAACTGCAGAAACTGTCATCTTTACCATGTTTAACTGTCAAAAGCCAACTACTCTACTACATAAGAAACAAAAGGGTAGAAGAGTCATCACACAGAAACCACATTTTGAGAAATGATGATGTGATGACAAGGCAACCTAAGATGGAACGTTTTATCTTCGAACTGGCAGTTCTTGCCTTGGCAACCTCACTTCCCTGACTGTGAAATACTTGAGAACGCGCAGAAAGAACAGTTACAGACATGGCAAAAAGCTTCGAATATGGAGCCTTCATGGAGAAATTTATTCTCCAACCAAGTCCTTCTCAGCAACTTCCCCTCAGTGGCCTCAGTTTTGCTGTTAAAGACATGTGAGTCATTCTTTTTTAGAATCTTTTCAACGATATATTTCCTGGATAATTCAAAGCATGCTCCTTGTTTTCATGGTCATATTGATGCTTGTATACCAAAGTTTTGCCTTTTGAATCTTCAATTTTATTGTATCTGTTAAAGCTTATCTGTCTGGCTAATTGTTTCTTATTGATTTGAATGTGAGTGTCTACAAGCTAAACATAAATCAATTTCAGCTTTTGAGTAATTGGGTCCCCTTGTTACTTCTTTTTCTGCTCTCTGGGTGCTCGAGACTACTTATTTTAAATTAAAAATTGGAAACAGATTTGATGTGGATGGATATGTCACTGGGTTTGGAAACCCTGACTGGAAAAGGACTCATTCGGCTGCCATATCAACAGCACCGGCTGTGCTGGATGTCTTGAGGGCAGGAGCCACTTGTGTTGGCAAGACTGTCATGGATGAAATGGCATACTGGTTAAGAGCTTCTAGTTCTTTTTCCTTTTCACCGCATTAAAATTTCTTTTCATAATTTCACCATATTTGCTGGCTATATGTGAATAACTGTTTCCTTTTTTCAGTATAAATGGGGAAAATATACACTATGGCACTCCCACAAATCCATGTGCACCAGATAGAGTACCTGGAGGATCTTCCAGCGGCTCTGCTGTTGCAGTAGGTGCAAGGCTCGTGGACTTCTCCCTAGGTGTTTATTCCTTCTTAAATATGGACTGTGTTCCTCAGTTTTTCCTCAAAATTTCTTTTAAGTGATTTTTGTCTCTAACATAGGAACTGACACTGGAGGAAGTGTGAGAGTTCCTGCATCATATTGTGGAATTCTTGGGTTTCGGCCTTCACATGATGCTGTCTCTACTTCCGGAGTTATTCCTATGGCACAGAGTTTTGATACTGTGGGTAAGGAGGAAATCTGATGGCACCGTCTCAATGTCTGTGTGTTTCAGAGAAATGCATAAGTGAAATTTTAGTTCTGATAAACTACACAAGTACATCTGAAAAGCGTAATTTGAAGTTATGGTTAATTTTGACTAAAAATGCAGTTTTTTCACCATAAAAGAGTTGTTGCTCTGAACTACTCCTTGCAATATTTTCATGTACTTATCTAGTTAAGCTGTTTTACTAAACATAGGGTTAGATCTGTACAATTTATGGTGCTTCTTGATTTGATGAGTCATTCTTCTAACATCAGTTCTCATCTAGGATGGTTTGCTAGGGATCCTGTGGTTCTGAATAAGGTTGGACGTGTCCTGCTGCATTTACCTAATGTGGATCCTGTCAGACCTAGTCAGATTATTATACCGGAAGATTGTTTCAGCTTGTCAAGCACTCCAAATGATCGAACAACTCAAGTTCTTGTAAAGTCAGTGGAGAAGCTCTTTGGAGGTAATAATCAAACTATTGGCTTCTGTTATTGGTGAAGTTTAATAAGTAGACTTGTGAAAATTCATTTATGGCATGGAGATAATGAAATTTGTTCAGGCTTAGAAGGCACTCTGAATCACACAGAAAATTGTTCTCATTAAGTATCTCTTTTGCGCAAGTGATTATGAGACAGAACTTGGCTCAGTAGAAATGGCGTATGGAAGTATTTTTTCACATTTTGTGTTCCAATTCATTTCAATACTGAATCTGTTTGTTTTTTGGCATGTAAGATGTATTTTATCTATTTGCCAGTGCAGGTCAAATTCTAAAGCATGTAATTCTTGGAGACTATTTAAAGGAAAAAGTACCTAGTTTGCAGCATTTCATGAGTGCGGGGAATGAAGAGCATTTGTATAACATACCATCCTTGGCCGCCCTTTCAAGTGCAATGCGATTGCTTCAAAGGTGCAAAGCGTCATGGAACTTTTAACTCATTCAGTCCACCTGAATGCTAATTCTCATATTGCTCAGGATCACGCTAGACAAAGAACCTTCTGAATATTGACTCCTGAACTTGATTTCTGTTTGAAGCATAGGTATGAATTCAAGAACAACCATGCTGAATGGGTCATGACAGTGAATCCTAAGTTAGGTCCGGGACTATCTGAGAGGATATGGGTTGCCATTAGAACACCAGAGGAAAACATTGATGTCTGCCACACCGTGCAGAATGAAGTACATGCTGCTCTTACAGCTCTCCTTGAGGTACTTATTTTTTCTTGATAACTAGCAAAATATTCTTCTATTTAGAGTTGTGATGATTAGGGAACTTACGTATGCATGGTTGCATCCATTTGTCTAAGCATCTGACATGGACTTCTAATAAACTTTCATGTGGTGGACTACTCATTGCAAATAAACATACTAATGTTTCTGATTTGGATGGAAGACAGATAGATACAGGAATAGGATTTTTTTAACTCCATTGGTTCAATATTCCTTTTAAGCTAGCGTTTCAGTTAATTGAAATGAGAAAAAAGAGATGTCTTCTTGTAGTGAAATATATACTTTGCAGGATCAAGGCATCCTTGCTCTGCCTACTATTCCAGGGGATCCACCAAAACTACAATCAAATCCAGCCACGCTGGAAGTATTTCGTGCAAGAGCTTTTAGCTTGCTATCCATTGCTGGAGTATCTGGATTTTGTCAGGTTCTCTTTCTCTCTCACTGCACCCCCTCCCCCCCAACATTCACACACAAAACAAAACCAATGACCCTGAAAATCTCCCACTTTCTACTTGCTTTTCTTTAGAAACTTCTTACATCTTCAAAGAATCATCCTGTCCACAGGTTAGCATTCCACTGGGGATGCATAATGATCTTCCTGTATCAATCTCTTTGGTGGCGAAACATGGTTCAGATGCTTTTCTGCTTAATCTAGTTGAGACACTATATGACACCATCAAAGAAGAAGTTGGAATTGCTGAGAGAATTAGTAACTGAATTAACTACACTAATCTTCAATTTAAAGTGTTAAGCTTTATGTTGTACCAAGATCAAGTCAGGCATGACTATCTTGCCCAATTCAGATCAGTACATTTGGCAATAGCTGCCATCATCATCAGTCATGTATGTTCAACTATTTCTTCTTTCCTTTCCTTTCCTTTCCTTTCCAGTCTCTCTCTCTCTGCTACAAATGTGCAATTGCAGCAACAATGGCTGCAATTGACTAAATGAGTTTTAACTGTATCATCCATGCCAATGCTTTGGACCAACATACAAGGATTTCAAGCAACACAAAATTGACTGAATGAGTTTTTGCAGATAGTCATCCATGGCTGAAGGTTTTCATTGAGTCAGCATCATTTAAAGTAAAATCCATCCAAAGAGGGAAGTAAAAGCCAAAAATCAGGTAAAATTCCTGCATAGAGCAGAATGTTTTGACTGGACCAAACATAAAAAATATATAGATGCTAAAAGTCAACAGCATTTCACATGCTGCACCACACTCAATTCATTATTCACGTGTAGTTAGAAAAAATAAATCCAATAATTTTAAACAAAATCCGTTAACACAAGAATAATACAGAATTAAACAAGATTGGAGTTTAAAATTATTATGTTTCATGTTTTAAACGGGTCAAATCCGTTTAACTTATGTTTAATAAATCATGTTATTGTATTAATTTGTATAATATAATTTATTTAATTTATTTATAACACTCATTTAAATAAGTTAATTGTTTTAATTGTACTTAAATGAATTCGTAATATTATAATTGTATCATGTCATATAAAATTTAATTTTACTTATTTAATAAACGTGTTAATTATATCATATTTAATCATATAATAATAAATATCTAATCTAAACATGATATAATTACTAGAGAATAACTCAAAGTTTTAAATATACTAAATAATGAAGTTATTGATGTTAGGCTCAAGTCATAATCAAGCAGCAACTTGTAGTTAAGAGAAATGGTTCAAATCAATACCCAACATTAAACATAAAAGTTTAATGCTTTTGCTTTGCTTTTCATGACTTTAAAAAACAAAAAACTCTGCCCAAGTTATTTTTAACATATAAAATAAAAAATATATATAAATATAAAAATTGTCCCCCTGCTTTTTAAAATTTTAGTAATCAACAAGGAAGGTAATTTTCTATTATAAAATAAAAATTATAAAAATTTATATTTAATTCTCAAATAAATTAGTTTTATAAAATAGAAAAAATAAAAGAAAAAGGTTGGTAGCCCTTTTTTCAGTTTCAACTTTCAACATCGAATTCTGTTCAAAATTGGACTAATTTTGTTTCATGGGCTGTTGACTTTAATAGATTTTAATGAACCGGCCCACATTGAGGAGCACATCCCAAGCGCTTTCTAGACGCTTGCAGTAAACAGCCCATATTAATATGGAAAAAAAAGCAATTAAACTCAATTATTGAATTAAATAAATATATATTTACCTATTATTCAAACAAAAATTAATATTTCCAGAAAAGAAAATGTAAATTTTCCTCTTAGATACCATATATAAATTATGGATAAAATAAGGTATTAAATTTATTCTAAAGTTATATAAAAAAGTATATACTTATTTTTCTATTTTAGAAAAATTAAATTATTTTCCTTAAAATTGTTCATTGTCCATTTTTATCCATTCTTATCTAATCTTTCACCCTTGCCTTAGTTGTTTGTATAATTCTTCTTTTTTTCTTTTTTTTAACTAATTTAATATATCAAAGATTTTATTATCAAAAGAATTATTTAAATTTTGATCACAAGTCGATCAAATTATTAAGTAGAGAATTTGATATAAATGCGTATCGATCAAATCATTAAATAGGTTTTATTTAAGAGTAATTAGTTAATCTCGTTACAAGATATTTTTCATAATAACTGCTAAACGGTCTGGATAAACAAATAAATAAATTGTTAAACTTAATTATATTGTGATAAAAATTTAATGACATGAATGAATTACATAAAATGACCGTTACACGGTAAATTAAAAATTCATGAGTTTAAGTGAGTTTTTTTTTAAAACATTTCATTAAAAAGTGATATGTAAAGATGAAAAATTAATAACTGCGAATGAGATAAGTTTATTATAATAATATTAAGTATTAACATTATAATTATAATTTTTAAATTATATTATTATTAAATATATAATAAGAATAATAAAATATTAAAATTATTGTAAAAAATAAAAATAAGAACAAAAGACTCAAGTGAGTATAACAAAAGAGGAAAAAAAATCACTTATTATGGTAATTTATAAACTAATAAAACATATTTCCAAATTATCCATTGAGAAGCGCACGCTTTAGAAAGTCGCGTGGGCGTTACAGCAATCTCAAGTTATAAAAATAGTGAGGTACAAGCAAACAAGAACAGGAAGTTAAGCTGGTTTGATCGGCGCGGAAAGTACAATTTCTTCCGGAGCTCCTCAGCCTCCTTTCGCCATCAAATCTCCATATTCCCGTCTTCGATCCTACGCCGTCGGTGGTGGCGTTACCTTGACAGCCTCCGAGGCAAGCCCACGGCCTCCACTAGCTCCCCTGTTTCCCCCCTTCAATATCTGATCAAACTTTTGAAGCCAACAACTTCAGTTTCACTTCGAAATTGTGAATCAAAATCTCTTGTCTTTGAAAAGGAGTTGCTTTTGACAAGACCCAATATTTGTCATCAACTAAAAAGCTCAAACTTAAGATTTTGAAATAAAAGGAAAAAGAAACCGCTAGGAAAATGGAGGTAACGGCTAGAGCTCCAGGGAAAATCATACTCGCTGGTGAACATGCAGTGGTTCATGGATATACTGCTGTTGCTTCATCCATTGATCTCCACACTGTTGCCTCTCTTCGTCTTCGTCCTGGTATGTCTTTCTTTCTCTCTCTTTTTTTTAATTGTTTTTATTTATTTATCGGTTATGTTAGTTTTGATTTTCATTTTTTGTGTTTTGATACTGTTTTTGGTGTTTTCCGGTTGGATTGGATTAGATGAAGTTTTGTTTTGAGTTGGGTTGTTTTTAGATGTGTGAAATGTTGATTGGCAGATACCCTTTTGAGATTATGTGAAGTATTACTCTGGTTTTACAAGGTTTTGCTTTTTGTATGAATTTGTTGCCCATTCTTATTTGCTTTTGGTGCTTTTTTGGTTTAATGTGATGTTATATTGAGTTGGGGTTATTTTTGAATCGTGTTAAATGCTGACTGGAAGATTCCCTTTTGAGATCATGTGAGGCTTTATTGTGCTTCTTCAAATTTTGGTGCTCATAATCTTTTGTCTAAGTTTCTTTTTTCTTTTTTTCAGATGTGTTCTTTTAAGATTGCATGAAATAGTGATTGGAGACAACGTTCTGGGATTATGTCTAGATATGTTTATTTATTCATTTATTTATTTATTTTGTAGACTTTGCTTTGAATTTGTTTGTTGGTTGTTGTTATCTTTGTGCAAGCTAAGTATGTGAATCCAATTGAGCTGATTAGGTTTGCTTTTAAATAAGGACCTGGTAACTCAGATTGGATGAATTTGTAGGGATGCAGATTGTTGGATTGGGGCTTGTCAGTTTTACTTATTTAAGATAGTTCTAATATTTATCTACAATCATAGTTATATCTAATTACGTTCTATCAAGCTTAGTTTGGTCGAAGTATACTATTAGTACTTTCCTTGGTGTTACATGAAATTAGTGACTTTATGAGTCAAATTTTGATTTTCTCGTAACCGCTCTTGATCAACCAATCCAATTAGGTAAGGACATTAATGGATCGATCTAACTTGGTTTCTTTATGCTATAATCTTTGGCAAGAATTGTAACTTTGCTTTGCAATCTAATAGTAATTATTTTTCTGTAAACTGCTTGGTGATGAAGGGATCTCCCTTGACTTTATTTCATTTTATCGTGTTTGCTCTTTCCATAGATGGTGAAGATACAATAAATCTTCAGCTCAAGGATGTTGGATTAGACTTTTCGTGGCCAATCCAAAAAATCAAAGAAGTGGTAGCTCACTTAGGTTCTCCATTTTCTTCAACACCCACATCATGCTCACTGGAGATCATCAAATCTCTCACTGCTCTAGTTGATGAGCAAAGTTTCCCTGAGGCAAGGATTGGACTTGCTTCTGGGGTTTGTGCGTTTCTTTGGCTGTACACCTCTATCTTAGGGTATGTATGCAGTTTGGTTTTTCTAACTAGCTTTTTCCTCTTGATGGTCTAGTTTCTAACTTAGTGACTGTATGAATCAGGTTTAAGCCAGCTACAGTTATTGTTACTTCTCAGCTTCCAGTGGGTGCTGGTCTGGGTTCATCAGCTGCATATTGTGTTACACTTTCAGCAGCTCTGCTAGCTTTTTCAGATTCTGTGAAAGTGGACATGAGCCAAAAAGGATGGTTTATATTTAAGGAGGCTGAGGTTGAATTGTTGAATAAATGGGCGTTCGAAGGGGAGAAAATAATTCATGGAAAGCCCTCTGGAGTTGACAACTCAGTCAGCACATTTGGTATGCAACTTGTTCAAATAGAGTAAAAAATACTTGTTCTTTCCTTCAAATTCTTTTAACCATTAAATTTATTTTCCCCCTTATCTGTGCATCACTACCCCAGACTGGCTAGCATTGGAATAAAATGGAGTTTTAGAACCAATTTGGTAACTTCAGAAATCCAAAAGGAAGGTTGGACATAGTAAAGACTCATTGTAGTAGCCTAAGAAAGGATTTATGTTATTAACATAAACAACCTATTTCCAAAACAAGTGATAATGATTTCGTAGTTTCCTTCATAACAGGCTAATGTTTTAAATTAAATTGTGGATGTTATATTATCATAAAATAGGCACCCTGTTTCAACCCACTCCCAACTTTTCTAATGATTTTCTTTATGAGCTTTCTTCTCCATGCATCTAACGTACCCCTGTTACAATTAGATGAATAAGGCTGGAAAGCATCATTGTTTGTCATTTTACTTCAGTATGGGTTTGTGTATCCTCAATCTCATTTGAAGGTTATCTTGTTACCTCATAAATGCAATTGGTTTATCAATATCTATGTGGTTAATTAAGTTATCATTTCATGAAACAGGCAACATGATAAAATTCAAGTCAGGTAGTATGACCCGAATCGATTCCAATATGCCATTGAGAATGCTCATTACCAACACAAAAGTTGGGAGGGATACAAAGGCATTGGTTGCCAATGTTTCATCAAGGAAATCAAAGCATCCTGAGGTGATGGGCTGTGTGTTAAATGCCATTGAATTTATCAGCGAGGAATGGTCTACCATAATCCAGTCACATGCTCTAGATGATCTTTCTTTAGCCACAAATGAAGAGAGGCTAATAGAGTTAATGGAAATGAATCAGGGTTTGCTCCTATCTATAGGTGTCAGCCAGGCTGCTATAGAAACTGTTCTTCAGACAACAATGAAGTATAAGCTAGCTTCCAAGCTGACGGGAGCCGGTGGTGGAGGCTGTGTGCTAACATTTTTACCAATCCGTATCCTCTTTCTTATCTCTTTAATTTGTTTATTTATACCTGTGCCTATAATCTTTTCTGTCTTTTTTATATTTACGTTATGAAACCTACCATGTAAGGCTTGCAACCAGTATAATCATTTCCCTTGCCTCTCTCTGCCCTTTGAAATGAGTTTATTTTTTTGCTCATCTCTGTCTCTTATCTTGTTTTTAATGTGAAGGGGCAAAGGCTTTTGAGAATAAGATAGGCTTCGATAAGATACTGCATTTTTGTGTGTCTATTTTGGTTCCCATAAGTCATATTACTTCATTTTGTTAACAGTTTGATTGTCCATTTCGCCGATGGTCTCATTCATTATTACTTTCTTGAATCTCATATTCTTTTACCTGTTCCCTTGACAACATGAATCAGAGCTATCAGAAGCAATTGTTGATAAAGTAGTGGGGGAGCTAGAATCATTTGGGTTTCAGTGTTTTGCAGCTGGGATTGGTGGGAAAGGAGTTCAAATTTCCTTTGACAGTTCTCCCTGATTTCCCTCCCCATGTCTAAGTGAGATCTTTCTTCGAATAACAACACTAAGCAGATGGTACAATGTTGTAGCTATTTCTGTTTCATCTCTGATTTGTGTACAATTTTTGGATGAGCCAATCCCTATTTATCCAAAAAGAAGCAAAGAGCTGTTACAGAAAACGACAATGGCCTCGCTGTGTCTGTTCACCTCTGTACATTAGTTGGTAGTGTTTTCTTCATTGTTTCCTAGTGTCCTGAACTTTAGTTTGTTTCTTCCCCTCTCCTGTTAAAGGCTTGGGGATGTTAAAACTTTGTTTGTAGTAGGGTGACTGAAAAACTGTGAAAATTTGCATGAGCTTTGGTGTTGTCAGTTTCTCATATTTGCTGTTGAAAGTTTACAAGCTAATGCGGTTTTAGCCATTATTTCCCATTTCCATATTTCTGCTATAACTGATCTAAGTTTACATTTGACATGTCATTATTCTAGATTTTCCCCCAGAGAGATGAACAAGAACAGTTGTTGCATTTGCATTTGACATGTCATACTTCCTATTTCCAATTCTTTCAGCTCTGGAGTTACATGATTTCTACATTGAGATTGTTAAACTATTCTCCTCTGCAACTCCAACTTGCATTTCCTCAAATCAAACTCAACCCAACTTTCTTTGGATGCTACTACACTCAGAAATGGCAAGTTCCAGGTCAATTGATAATCTTCTTGGACAAATCCCTAAAAACTGATAACTTGGTCTGTATGCAGCAAGTTTTTACCTGCCTCCATGGACATCAAAAGGTTTTTGTAGTGTCTATGAAAAACCCAATGCTGTCTGCCAAGAGTTTGTAACTGCAGAATGGATATCAATGACAACCCTGTTTCTGCTTGCTAATCGTTGTCATCCCAAACGAAGACAGACAAACCATGAAAAGAGTTCACCAGATATAAACACGTTTACACAAACAAAAATATCTATTTACTTTTGATATTGCTCCTGCTTAGTTCCATTATTACTTACTAGAGAGCCCAAGGACCATAGATGTTACTCCACACACAAACAAAACAACCCCAAGATTCTCATTTCAAAGCACACATATAACCTAAGCGTTCAGGCTGCCTTGGCCAAAAGCTACATACATTCGGAAATACAGATAAGGACTTTTTACCACTCTTACATGCAGCAAACGATAAAACACTGTTTATAAGGTAAAAGACACTGAAAAGAGAGAGCTTGGCTTAACCCCAGACACATATCAAGCATTCACTATGGCACCACCATTTGGATGGAGGACTTGGCCACTTATGTAGGAGGAGCAGTGGTTGCAGGCAAGGAACACATAGGATGGTGCAACTTCGATAGGCTGGCCGGCTCTTTGCATAGGAACTTCGGATCCAAACTTGGAAGTCTCCTCTTCATCAAAGGATGCTGGAATCAGCCGAGTCCATATGGGGCCTGGTGCGACGCCATTGACACGTATTCCTCTTTTTACAAGCTGTAGTGAAAGCCACAATTGCACCCTTGGTTGCTGTGTAATCAAGTAGCTTATCATTCCCTTTGTATGCATTTATGGATGTAGTGTTTATTATGGAACCGCCTTCCTTCATCTGCTTCAAAGCATGCCTATCAACATCACGTCACATCATCAATCACCGTTGTTATTGTATCACAGTTTTTCCTGATTTTCTAAAGCTGGTAGTACATGGTATTCAATCAAAGATTGCCCTAACTCTTTAGACAAAATTTGAAGCATTACCTGGTCAAGAAGAAGTAAGAAAAGATGTTAGTCCTAAACACCCTTTCAAGCCTCTCCTCATCAACCTCCTCCACACTGCTTGCCGTATACTGTTCAGCTGCATTATTAACCAGAATGTCAATCCGACCATATGCGTTCACCACCTCATCAACAACTTTCTTGCAGTTCTCATCAAACCCCACATCAGCAGCTATAGCCATAGGGTCCTTTGCGTCTGGCGTCTTTTCCTTTTTCAGCATCTGCAGAGTGTCCTGTGCTTCCTTGTCCTCCTGAGACTTCACATAGGTGAAGGCCACGGTTGCACCCTCTCGGATAAAGCAGTGGCTAACTGCTCGGCCAATCCCAGAATCACCTCCAGTAACTAAAGCCACCTTTCCCTGCAAAAGAGAAGAATTTTGTTCAAACATGCATGCATATATAGAGTATTTCCATTTGAAGAATACTTTCAAATTTTCAAGTTTAGAAATAACAGAAGGTTACTGATTAGACTTAGAAAGCACTGAAGAAAATTCATTATGCGCTCCAATTATGAGCATTTTGCTTGAAGCCAGATCCATTTTTGTGGTAGCATTCCATTGTAGTAATGCAAATGAAAAGCTGATCATCTCTCTCATTGCTCAATGATGGTGATCATAATTTCCAATAAATGCAAGAATGCAACTTGTATTAATGTGCCATTGATTTGTGTTTGGGAAACAATACTTGAAGCTTGTTAGAAGGCTTGTAGTCAGGGCTGGTGAACTGAGGGATAAAATTCATGACATGTTCTTTCCCGGGCTGTGTCGACTGTTTCTGAGGAGGAAACTGCTGCTGCCCACCAGAAGCCATTCTGATCTCAAACAATCTAACAGGTCTCGGTCTCCCTGGAAAATGATTTCTCTCAACTCTAAGTTGGCTTTTGTTTGGACACCAAGAAACTACAGTGGCTAAGGCTCTTAAGGAACCTAGTGAACGGGAAAAAATATGTATAGTATATGGTGTAGGATTTGATTTATTCAGTGAACAGGAAAAGTTGATGCAAAAGGCTAATATAATGAGCATTCAGGTGGACATGTAGGGTCACGTAGCAGCAGAATTGTCCACGTGTCATGTCAGCCGCATGCAGTGGACACGTCTGTGGAAACCGACGTTCTTGTTGACATGGGAACCCATGTGAAGTGGGGAGGTTCTAGAATGATCTTTGAAGTGAACTGGTTGGTTTTGATCTAACTATGACAAATGGACTTGACCCTGAGTTTTTTCTTTTGGATGAAACCTTCATTTGATCAGCAAAATGCAGGATACGGCCGTTAGAATGAGAAAAGAACATAAAAAGACAGATATTATATACTTTTTTGGACAGATAATGTGTTACCAGAAAGTATGTACGGTCATTTTATTTTATTTTTAATGTAAGAGGAGAGTGATATGGCTCGAATTTAGAATCTTTTGTTCTTAAGAAAATTGCTGGATTCTACTACAAACTTGAACTATAATTCAATAAAAAGAAAGACAAAGGAGAGACCGATAGAGAGAGGGGGGGAAAACATGGAGGGTTGCTATGAACAGAAAGTGCACTATTCTTCTGAAGGAATACATTGCAGTTAAAATGAGCTTTGATTCTTTAAAAGGTAATGAGGTTATGAGAAAAATAAGATTCTTAGACTTCATTGCAAGTTTGCCTTTTACGGCTGTCTTTTTTGTGAAATTAGAGCTGGATTATACTCAAATCTTCTAGCTTTTAACCCCAAAAAACCTCCATACATTTGCATGCAGGCGACCGGCCACGTGGGGAGCCTTCTCAAGCCTCGACTGCCTTACATGTCAGTAAGGCACACGCTTTCTTCTTGAGCAACGAATCCATAAAGTGGCACCTGTAAACTGCTTGACATCCAAGGCAAATCATCAACAAAAAAGGGGAGGAAGTATCCAACTCAAATACAAAGCTTATACCATACAAAAGTTTTGCAGAAGAGACCCTTTTCTTTTCTTTTTCACCTGCATGCCATCCTGTGGTGTGTTCTCAGCCTTCCTCAGAAACAAAGATTTCGGATTGTTTTTCTCTCTTTGGAAATGTATAAGCTTGCCATGGCCTCTATCAAACCTTCCCATCACTTCTTCTTTGTGGTTGTTCTTGCCATTTTCTTGCTTTCTCCTCCAGTGCTCAGTGATGGTACTCTATTATCTCTACTCTCTCTCTCTCTCTCTCTCTCTTGGTTTGCATGAAACTGTGAAATGCTGGGGTTTGCATGTGTTTGTCTTCAAGCCTTTTTAACCCTCTAAATTCTACTTTTCTTCATTTTTCTTCAGTGTTGCAGATGCAGAAGTCTTAATTTAATTGCATGCAAACCAATCTATCATATTTCCTACATTCTTTATCAGTTGATAGAGATTTGTTCAGTCCTTGTTTGGAGTTTACTCAGGAGTTGGCATGCATGTTGGATGAGTTTGTTTTCTTATGTTAGAAATGAAACATTCTTGTTGATTACAATGAAAACAGTAGGTCTTAGTTTCACCAACCTTTTACGCTTTTGTGACCGGGGGGACTCAACCAGATCTAGGGCTGTAGAAGAAAAGCAGATAACTTTTTGTTGCCAGGTCTTTTTCCAGGCATTGGACAGGACTCTTTGTCTGAGATCATCAACAGTTCCTGATATTTCCATAGAAGATCAGCATCTTGCTTTGATCTTTTTTACCTGTTTCTTTCCCTTCAAATTTGTCTCTTAACCTTGTGGCTTTTGCTTGACATCACATTCCAATAATTCGACAATCCATGGGGCAACTGACCATAGCTCATGTCCACCAAGCTTTTGGCTTAGTTGAGGGCTTTTCATCAGTTGCCAATCTTTTGACAGTTCAAGTTTCCATAGCCCTGAATTCGAATCTCTCCAGTCTTCATTTTGTTACTTGCATTACAAGTATCATAGTGATCAGGGCAGATGAGCTTAATCTGCTGCACATTTCTCCTTATTCACTGATTGATAACCAAGTGATCGACTCTTTTTCCACCTTCTGCAGTTGAGGAAGACCATCTTCTTCAAGGACTCAACAGTTTCAGGACATCGGTGAACCTCCCGTTATTCAGCAAGAACAAAAACGCACACTGTGCTGCCGAGCAAATTGCCGACGACCTGGAGGACCAGCCATGTTCGAACTCCAACAATGAAACTAGATTATCCGACCATCCAAATGCTACATCCAAGTGCGATATCGACCCCAACACCACAAGCGATGCGATCGTACTGCCCGTCTGCGTCCCGGACCTGGTTCCAACCCTCGTTCTCACCAACTTCACACGCACCCATTTCTCCAAGTACATGAACGATTCCAGCTTCACCGGGATCGGGGTTAGTTCCCAGGACGATTGGATGGTGGTCGTTCTTGCCCCCAACACTCCATCCGGGAGCCTTGCCAATGGAGCTTGGTCTTGGGTTCATGCAAAGGTTGGCTTAGGCCATTACTTGGTACTTTCCTTGTTGGGTTTGGTTCTTTGTCTTATGCAATGAAAGCCCTAAATCCTTGTATGTTCTTCCCCATGTTCTTGTGTTCTTGAGTTTGTAATTAAGTACATATTTGACATGATGTGTTCAACTTTATTCATCCTCCTTATGACCTGTTTGGTTGCAAGGAATGATTATGCTTCTGTATGGCAATGACTATTCTTAGAGAATGATCCTATAGTTGATATTGTCAAGACTTTCAATAATCTTGGACAATTCAATTCTTTACGTATTTGGGTTATTTTTATTTTATTCTATTTATTTTTGGGTTGGGAATTTAATGTCATTTTTAATTTAAGAAACAAATACTTGTAAATTTTTTATAATACATTAAATTAGTCATATCAAGAGAATAATCATGAAAACAAACATCATAATCATTATAAAAAGACTAAATCAAATCTTTTTGCAGAAAGTGATTTAGAATAAGAGAATAATAATGGACAAGAAAAAAATCATTTCATGTCAATTTCAATTTATGAATTATTTATCATATTAAAGTACAAATATATTGTTATGTTTAAGGTTACTTTCAACATTACTTTACTCTTTGAATTAACACCCTTGTACATGTATCTTCTTTCACATGGTATTTCTCTTTTTTTTTTAAATTACATCCTTCAATTTTTATTTGATTTTATAAAATTAAGTTATTAATTTTATATGAAAACTATTCACTATAATGGAAAAAAATTATAAAATTCATAAAAAGTATCCATAAAGTGTCAATTAAAAATAATTGAATTAAAAAGAGATATTATCTATAGAATTAGTACTAATTAAAAATATTTATAAAATGTTAATTGAGTAAACTTAGTTAAAACAAATTATGATATAGAACATGAAAAAAATTAAAATTATAAAAATTCGTCAGATATCATGTGAAAAAAAAAAAGATTATAAAAATTGTAAGTATATTTTATCCTTTTTTTTTGTAATTACTTTTATAAAACCAAAATGGGCCCCTTAAGACAGGTCAGGTAATGGGCCAAACCCCTTTTTTATGGGCCAGTCTCTTTAAAGCAAGCTGGGTGCGCACGGCCTAAACCTGCGCACCCATTTCTTCTGGAAACGCAGCAAAAAAGGGAAAGTCTGGGATTTTCAGATCAGTTCGATCGATCGCGCGAAAAAAAACACAGCTTTTGAAGCCTTTGAAACTATGGCCGAAAACGACGACGAAGAAGGCTTCGGCGACTTCAAATTCATATCTTCCTCATCACCGCCAGAGACCGCCACCATCACCGCCAACGACGATGATGATTGGGGAGATTTCATGATCTCCAGCAATGCTCTCTCGCGCACCGAATCCCTTCCTGTCAACCAGTTTCATTTCGATCCCTTCCCCAACTCGTCTTCTCCTCCAACTCAGCCCGGCTCGGCTCCTAGCCGAGTCGAGTCGGTGAAAAACCATTGGGCCAAGCTGAATGGAGCTTTACCGTTATCGCTTTTCGGGGAGGAAGAAAAAGAGGAAGAGGGATCCGGTGCGGTGGACTCAGGGTTTAATGGTGCAACTTGGACGTTTTCATTTCCTAAAAGGGATGGAAGTTTAAAGGGAAAAGGATCGGATTTGCATGATTTGTTAGCGGATTTGTATAAACAAAGTGAGCGGGGAAAGGAAGGAAATGCTTGCGGGTCGGGTTTGGATGTTAAGAAGGAAGTTGATGTGAATCGTAAGGTGGAGACTGGGAATTGGAACGGGTTGAACTTGGAGTTAAATGGGTCGGTTTTGAAGGTGGATGGGTTGGATTTGAGTGGAAATGCTTCTGCTTTGGATAAAAAAGAGGAGAATTTAGGTTCAAATGGGGCTGGGATGGAAAGAAAAGAAGGGAATTTGGGATTAAGTGGGTTGGATTCGGGCTCAAACGGAGCAGTTTTGCATCAGAACGGGTCGATGTTGGATTCAAATGGGGGGAGCTCTGATTTGGTTGATGGGGAGGAGGAGGAGGATGATGATGGGTGGGAATTTAGGGGTGCAGAATCAAAAGCAGAAGCTGGTGTTGAGAATGTGAAGGTAAAGTTTATAGCTCTCTCGTGATTTTGAACTTTTTATTGTTTAGTTCATGTTGGTTGTTTAAATAGAATCGAGAAAAAAGAGGAAATATCAACTATTGATACTTAATCCCTAAGCATATAAGATGACTGTCTTAGAATGTAAGCAGCTAGAAATTTTTTTTATAACGGTGCTTTATTGATATTATTTTGATATTTTGTTTTATCAGAGTGATCAGAGTGAGCCAATTTCGCATTTCAGTTTGTCGGCTGTGAGTTGGGATCCATTGGGCACAAATGTCATGGGGCCAAATTTGAATGATAATGGGGTAAATTCTAATGTAAGTAGGTTGAACTCTAGTTTAGTTGACGAAAATGAGGAATTTGGTGATTATGATGGATGGGAATTCAAGACTGCAGAATCAGAGGCACGCTCTGGCACCGGCAGTACTAAGGTAAAAGTTTCTCTCTTTTACTTTGATAGGCTGGAAAATCCTTGTCAACACTGTAACCACAAATTATTTCTGTTACTTTATTGGTAGTGATAGTTTGCTGTTATTTGGCTCTTGTGTATGCCTAAAGGGAGCCTTTATTTCAGTTATAAAGTTTTTTGTACTTTAAATTGATTATATACATCTTTCCACATATCTACAAGTTGTTCAGGGACTCCACTTACTTCACATATCTAAAGGAGGCTTTATTTTAAATATAAATTTTATCTTCTTTGCATATATCTTTTCTCATTGCCACAAATTGTTCAGGAACTCCATTTTGTTTGCTACTCTTGACATTTACTACTTTGAAGGTTGACAGCAGAGAGCAGGAAAATCCTAAGGAAGTTGAATTTGGTGCTGGTTTTGGGAATGGTGAGAATGGTCGTCGTGATTTGTTTGTCACATCAGGTGGAATCTCTAACAAACCTGGTGAATGGGATGTAGGATTTAGTTTTGCGCCGAGTTTTGGAACTCAAAGCATGCAGAATGATATAAAAAATGGCGTAATTTCTTCTTCCATCGATAAAAATATTGATTCTGACGAAATGTCCTGGGCTTTTAAGGACACAATACCAGGAAATGGATCAAAGACTAAGGTGATGAATTGATAGATCTGATATTCTTTCTTTTTTCTCTCTTTATATCTCAAACAATCTGCCTTATTAAACTTCAATCTTTTTTTCTAATATATGTAGGAAGAGCCAAAGCTTGCTGATGCTTCTTCTTCTGGTGTGGAGGACCTTTTATTTGACAGTCTTATCCAGGTATTGGTTCATTTAGTATGTGATATTTTTCAGTAAAAAGTCATTCATAAAAAATCTGACTGATGAGGCATTGGTGAATCCAGTATGCTCTGCTAAGCTTCTATTAATTGATCACAGATTAAGTGTGAAACGCCTATTGCATGAGATATGTTGGTTTCTGGATATGCCTCTTCATCTAACATATTGTATTTTGTTTGTCATCGAGAGAAAAGTGAGCTTTACTAGTAGTACATACTTTCATTGGCAAATTTTCTTCTCAGTCCCTGTTTATCTTTCCTTTTTGTGCTCAGGGGAATAAGGAAAGGGTGGAGAAACACAAAGGCGCCTTGCCCCTGTCCATCTTTGGTGATGCGGAACTTGAAACTAATGATTCATTGAGATATGAAGATGTTTCCATTCATAAACCTACCTCCCCAAGAACTGTCATGAAGGATACCCATTCAAATATATCTCTCAATGATCTTATATCAAGTTTATATAGTCAAGCTGAGAATAATGCTTCTTTAAATCACATAAGCAATCCAAGTGAAGATCTTTCCTCCCAGACAGTGGTGGATTCCAATTTAGTAAATGATGATAACGATTTTAATGACGATTCCTGGGAATTTAAAGGTGCCGATTCTGGAACCCAAGGAGAAAACCAGAACTCTCTGCATCGTTATGGAGAGTCATATGAAAAATACTCTACCAAAACATGGCTAGATGAGTGTGTGGACTTCTATTCTAAAATGACAGCTGAGTTGTGCTTTGTTGCACTTATCCATCTTGACAATATGAAGGTTGGTAGATTCCTTGAATTTATTTTTTTCCTTCACTTTTTTCTTGGTAGTAATTTTTTTAAAAGTATTTTGTTTCTGAAATTTGCTTTTTATTAGAAAGATCAAAGTATTGCTGCTCCTTTTGGTGAAGATGCTGAAGTAAAAGCCATTGAGGAGGAAATCCAGGTTGCAGTTATATCTGATCATTCTTGCAATTTTCTTTTCACTTTTATTAGTTACAGACTCTCTTTATATTCAAAAGATACATACCAAAAAGATCAGGAGAATTCTTACAAGAACCCCCCTTCTGTTTACTTTGCTTGAACTCATGGCAGTTGCTCACTGCATGTCAAAATCATAAATTTGAAAATGAATATTTTCTACTTAGGATCTGGAGCTCTTTCTCCTCTTTATACTGTTATCTATAAATGTATAAGGATGTGCAGTGATGTTTGATTGGTTTTACATTAGCCTTTGAAATATTGCTGAACAACTTTTTGTAGCGTTCCTTTGATCCATAATGCTGAGTAATACTTTGTGGCATCGGTTTGATCCATTATGGTGCCTATTTATATGTGTATCCAATATATACATGCCAGAACTCCAGTAATGGTATTATTTTCAGATGTGAGTTTAGTTGGGGTGAACCAAGACATGAAAAAGTGCAAAAGAATGAACTGTTCTTTCTATGTTGTTTTGGACTAATAATGTCATTATCTTGTCTCTTGCCTGTGGTTTGTAGGGTCTATACACTGAACTGTACAAAGATGGCATATTATCCAAAGAAGTGGCCTCAGAGAACCTCCAATCAAGAAGTATTGACCTAGGTGAATTTGCCAAGATTCTGCAGGAAAAAAAGTTTCAAGTTCTCGAATCAGAATATCACTTAACAGAGAAATTACTACTGGTGTGTGTCTTTTGCTTTGATTCATGGAGCTGTGTGCCCTTATTTAAATGAGAATTGATTTGATTCAAGTCTTGAGAGATCACTTCAACAAAAATGTAAGAGTATAAATTGGTTCAGTACTCCTCCTAGGACCCTTTTTTGGTGGGATAACCATATCTGCTTATGACCCTGTTTGTCTTTTAGGAGTGAAGACAATTTTGCCGTACATCAAACTGATGTACATTCCATAACAGGCTGGTAATAATTGGGGTTTGATCTGATACCCTTGATTCAATATACATAAGCTTCCCCTCCATGCCACTGTTCACCATATATTTATTTACCAAAATTTACTATATTTTAATATGAATGTCTATATCTGAACTAACCTCTCTCAGAATATGCAATGCTGGGTAGAGTGTAGATATTCTTTTTCCATATGATTGATGATTTGCTTTGGCTTTCACCATGTTATAACACTGTTTGTATGTTCACTTGAGTAGGCAGAGAAGGATTTGAGAATGGCAACTGAATTCTTGAAACATGCTGCATCAACACTGAAGGTTCTAAAATTGGGATCTTTTGAGGATCAATCTAATTATATTTCTACATGGTTGAGGATTTTGTCTGCTTGTGCACAAGAGCTGAAACATGGTGCCTTGATTTGGGAGCAGTCATTACAGAAAAACATTCACAGTCAATTATTATCCAAATCTCAAGGTGCTTCACTGGAAAGGAGAGCATATAAAATTTTATGTACTCTTTGTTTTGTTAATCTCAGTGTTGATATAATGTTTTGGGCATTTACAGGCAGGCAGTACGTTTTAGCCCTTGGAGAAATTTACAGAGTTGTCAAGATTGTTGAATCTTCGTCCAAACTGTACAAGCCTTGGATAATGTTTAGTTCTGAACATCCTACTAACATCCTAGCTCTTGTGAGGGAGTGTTCTACTTTGTGGTCAAGTTCAGGACTTGAAGAGGCCCTTCAAAGTCTGTCTGATCCAACTGATTTAAAATATGACATTGAAGCTTTACTTGGTTCCATCCAGAGTATTCATGATCTTGATACACATGACCTCTATAAACAAGTCTTCTCCGGACAAGAAAGTACATGCTGCCTATCAGGTTTAGGTGCAGGATCAGTGCCAGGTATGAAGATATTGATTTTGTTGCTAGGTATAAAATGTTTTCTAGGACAAAGAAGAAAGGGAGAGAGCGAGGTTTGACATTGTCTTCTGCAAGACGTAGGTAGGGCATGAAAAGAGTTCCCTCGCTAGGGCCTTTAAGAGTGTAGATTTTGTGGATGATAGACATCACGCTCTCAAATAACCCTGATTGCTTATGAATTTAATCCTAAGTTCTAAAGTCTTCAAACTTGTAAAAACATTGAGGCGTCAATGTTCTTTGCTTTTAAGTTTCTTTGAGGGCCAATATTGGCTTTAGATACAGTAGATAGCATAATCTTATAAACACATTAGTTTCCAACTGAAAAGATTAATCTGATTTACGAGCATGATAGTCATGCTTAGTAAACAGCTTATCCTTTGAAGTGTGATAACTGATTCTAAAAGATTTAGTTTCACCTGGGGATATAACCAAGCATAACAATTAGTAAATTGTACAATCATGTTCTGAATCGTGACCATCTTTTTTAGGTCCCCTCATATTAATCTCTAACATTATCTGGATTCTCTTGAATCAGGCATGAAAATGGTGGTTTGGGATGGGCGGCATTACTTTGTAACCATTGTGAACATGTGGGCAAATTTAATAAGTCGTGATCCACCAAAATTGCCACACATACATGCTAGCAAATGAGGATGGCATGGGAAGATAAAAGGTGTATTTCCCGAAAGTTTTGTAGCAGAGACCACACTGAAAAATTTCACTGTCCAGGACGAGGCTCCTGGATTGTAATCAGAGTTGCCCGAAGTATAAGTATCTCACTCTGGTAACAAAAATGCAGAACTGAATTTTCCAGATCCGATCAGATGCAAGGTGCCTAGTCTGAACAAGCCAGGTATCTAAGTCAGTTGTTTACATCATTGGCAGTCAATTCTTTTTGTGAGAGCTGTAATATAGCAAATAGATGTAGAAATGATTGTATCATCTTGTGATTCTATTGTATTCTATTATTCATTTGCAAACTGGGTGTGAATCAAATAAGCACCCCCCCACATCTAGAAAATAAAAGTTGAGTCAAAATAGTTCATCGGCACCCTACATTTCTCATGTTGTACTGCAACTTCATCAATGATTCAAATGATGAATGAGATTTTGTTGTAAGTGATCCTTGTGCAACATATGTAGAACTTTCTGCATTTCATTACTCAAAAAAACTCTTGGAAAGTATTGTATATGCCTTAGCTTACAGTCAGAATTATCTCTCTCTGATCACAGGATTGTAGAATTATAGTTCACCAATCAGGCCCTTGTTTGGGTACTGTGCAGTTTAAGCATATGGCCATCAAACATTTTTCCTTTTTGTTGTGTCTGGTACAACTGAGCAAGTTTAACCGGGGAAGGAAAGACTCCAACCCAGGCTTCACTCTCCAATGTAAGGTTAACTGGTTAAGGGGTAAAAACCTTTTAAGTTAAAATATGGAAAGGGTAATAAGAGTCACCATTGAGAGTAACAGTTAAGTTAAAACACGAAACACGAAACACGAAACGGGTAACACGAATAACATCTATATTAAGTTACTAACAACCATTAAATTAAACTAAATGATTTTTTAATCAAATAACTTTGTTACAATCTCTAACCCATTGCCAAAACTCACAAACAGGAATAGCATGAATTTCTGTAGTTTGTAATGATCCTCAAAGACCAAAAAGGAAAAGGAAGAGAGAAAGCAAATGGTGGGTTTAGAAAGCTTGAAATGTTGGGTAGGCCTTTTAATAAATACCACATGTTTTAACCCCTCTTTCCCAAAAGTCTAATATGTGTCGGTTGTACATCCAAGGCTGACTTCTACCAAATCTTGAGACCACAGTGAACAAGGAATTCATCCATACCAATGCCATAAAGAAAAGGAGTATGAAAGTACTTTTCCAAGGAAAGCAACCCCCTAGTGCTTACAAAAATGGGGAGGTGACTGAGGGCCCTAAGTGTTGGATTAAATTCAAACCTAGGTGGAAGAAAATGGGTGCTAGGCTTTTGGAACAACACTCTACAACATTGAAAATTTTTCTTTTTCAAAGAGTTACCCATCAAAGAATTTTTTTATGTTAATGCAAGGGATAATTGTGTTATAGCTGTCTCCAGGGTCAAAGAATGATGGTATTCTGACGCATTGCTGATCTTATTCACACTTGAGCATGCTTACCTTCCAACTTCACTCACCATCTAACCCATACTCAAAATGGTTCTTGTGGTCGGAGAACAGACGTGAAAACTCTATTTCTTAATCGAAATTTGTAAGAAATTTTATATTTTTATGATATTTTATTTAAAGATATATTGAAAATGACAGAGTTATTGTATTTGAGGTTCAAGGTTTTGATAATTTTTCGGTTTTTGTTTAAGTTGAAGACCCTTTTTTGCAAATAATCAAAATGACCCATTGATTATTTTTTTTGTACCATTTTACTTGGAAGCTCTGCTTTTCTTTTACCATGTGTTGCAAATTTTGAAACTTCCCTACATTTCTTGACAACCCTTCAAGAGGCAGGAGGAAATCCTTCCAGTTTCCACTACCATGAATCTCAAATTCTTTTATCTTTGCTGATATAAGCTTCAAATGTTTTATTTTCACAAAGTGTGAACCAAAGACCATGAAGGAATGAACAAGTGAACATGAGAGAGAAAAACATTTGATCAAGAAAAAAAAAAAAACAAAGGCTTTATCTTGTAGCCAATATATATGCTTTAATTTTCCTATTATTTTTTGCAGTTTTGCAACTGCACATACAAGTCTCACACAGACCAAAGATTTTCATTTCTTAGAATTCCTAAAATGGAACTATGAATATATAAATTGAAAAATATAAGAAAATTAAAACAGAAGAAAACAAAAACAATAGTCTCCAGGTTTTGTAAGAGCTATAATCAACAGCTTCCACTCTGTATATATACAGCTTCACCAAAAATTATAGAAATAGTTATCAGTTGCTTGCATTGCTACCTGTTGTGCAGTGGATCAGGGCAAGAGGGTACTTCTCTGTTAACGGTTGCAAAAAAGCCATCAGTCCCATTGTCAGGATTTTCCTTCCAGGTTTCCTCACCAGGCTTCTGGTCTTGAACTTCGAACTTCTCTGTTAGAAACCTTGCTCCCAAGACTCCATGGTGTAAAGCTGAAACACTCAGCAATATCAATAAAAGACACCCTACTAAACCCCTTGCGAACATGGTCTCTCTTTCACAACAAAAGCTAAAGGTGGAGAATAAGGATAGAGGGAGGAGAGTTTGGACCAGCAGCTGAAGTTGGTAGAATATATAGGGAAGGAAAGCCAAATATTCAAATGGTGTTTTTTTTTTTTTTTGTGTAAAAGTGAAAAATTATTTGGTCAAATTCCATTGCATTGACAATGAGAGGGATCTAAGACTTTTTGCTTGGGCAACTTTTTTCCCATTGAAGCAGCTAGCACTTGTCTAATAATTTTGATAACCAAGTTGCCCCCGCAATGATAATAACAGTGCAAGAAGAAAACTACAAACCATGTTCCCACATAAGTTTGTCTTGGGAAGTTAACCAAATTACTTAAGTACACTTTTCAAACTACATTGGCTAAGAGAAATTCAGACATGTTGATCTCTGATGTGCTCTCAAGCATACATACAGTTGAAAGCAATACAATATTAATGATTCATCATGTGATTAAAATTGAAGGGCATTTTAGAGGTTTTGGAAGTGGATGAATGGTTCAAGTCATTTGCACCGACCTGGTCCATTCCAGTCCAAATCCCAGACTATTCCAGCCAATGACACTCAATTTCCAACAGATAAACAATAATTTAAAATTAAACCTAACCTCAAACATTGTCTCCCAAGGGACCTCATTTTCAGGATCTTACATTTGACTCTTAACTTAGGTTGTTTTCCCTTTTCTTCTTTTCCTTTTTTCCTCTTCTAAAGATTAGATTGCTAATGTCCATATCAAACGCAGTTTTCCAGGGCTACCATTTCTTTATTGTTTTTATCTGATTTTTTTATTGTTCTTGTGTTTCAGAAACTGGGGTCTTTGCCTTTTGAAGAAAAACAAACACATTTTTCTTTATAAAAGGCATCTTCATCTTTTCTGCTGTAGGTTTAGGTTTCAACAAATATATTTTAGTATAGTTTGTTTCTTCTCATGGACTTGCGTATGGCAGCTCTTGCCCCCTCTAAATAATCATTTCTCTGATCTTTACTGTTGAAATTTGTCTTACTTTAAATCTTTCGATAAATTCTACCAACACCCTTTATGATTTCAATCTTTCTCACAAGATTCCCTATGATTTCCTTTTAATTTCAATTAACACCTTACAAATATCAATTTTTCACAATTAATATCTTATGGATAACTTCTGTTTCAACGGTTTAGACTGTTAGCAGTCTAACTCTTTGTGAAAGCAGAAGGTATTTACAAGATAATAATTGAAAACAAACAAAAAAACCTCTAAAAAATTAAGATGAAAGTTACCCTGGACTAGATATGTTTGTATCTTCAGCTCACATCATGAAGAATCAAAGTGCAAGCATCCCTAACATGCTAATTATAACATTATTAGAACTTTTGAGGCCCCCCAACAGGAGAGGAGAAGCCCACATGTTTTGACTTGGAGAGAGGACATGGAAACAAATTCATGAAGCATCATTCCAAAGACTCTTCCTATTGTTTCCCATCGGATCCCGAGCATGAAATGATGTGAAGTTGACAATTGCTTGTTTTAGCAAAGCTCTCAATGGGAATTGATCACACAATAAAACGTGTAATCAGTGATGAATTATTGAACTGAAAGACGGAAAGAAAATGAGTACACTGAGACAGATGATTACCGTAAAGGCCATAATTGGTCCCATGTTCCTTAGCCCTTCACCAGTTAATTCATATCTCACTCTCAAGACCTCCATCATGGATCTCTCTTTTCTTTGGCTGCAAATTTAAAGGTTCAGGTTTCAAAATATGGGTTAAGCCATAGCTTGGCTTCTTCTCCATTATCTGATAACTGCACTGGTATTTTCTCTGATGGCAAAATCCAAGAACTAGAAAGCTTGTTCGAACTGGGTTTTCAGGAATGAACACTTACTTGATGCAGCATTAACAGCAGGCAGTAAGGGCTTCAGTGTAATGATCATAGCTAGCTTTGGTCACTTTACCTAAGATATTTAGAAAAGAAGAGCTCTAAATCAAGTTTGAAGAGAAAATGAGGAACAAAAGCTCACAATTACACAGGAATAGTCGCTTGCATATTGGCCACCACATTACAAATGAAAGAATACACAATGTTTTCACTTGATCGAGAATAATAATTTCCACCAAGGATTGTAACGGTTAAAACCCAAAGGACCAAAAATCTCTTTCTTTTTGAGCTACGACTACTTGATTTTGCGTTATGAAAGAACAGTTTACTCTTTATACTGTAACAGTGAACAAATAGAGTTTGAGTACGACAGCCAGAGCCAGCTGCAACAGGAAGATGCTAGCAACAATCAAGAACCATCTTTCACCAGCTGATTTAATATGAGCTCTGAGATTAAGTGCCACAAAAGTCGCTGACATGAACCCTGCTACACCAGCAATTACCCATCTGAAAATTTCCAAGGGGACAACAGATAGACACTGCAACCAAGTACAAGCAACAATTTTAGCTAGAAACAAAGTCATAGCACAGATGTACCAAAAATTTATGTTGTTAAGAGTAAGAATGTTCAGATAATAAGCGTCACCATAAACATAGCTCTAAAAGTCCAAGTGATCATTTTACAGTGAAAATTTCTCTCAAGAAAATTTCAAAGCATAAGTTATTTTTACTTCAGACAGTTTTCTCAATTTTGATTAATGTTGAGATCTCTTTAAAATTTGGTGGCAAAGGAGGTGGGGCTAGGCAATCAACTTATACCTTTACAAATAAACTTCTAATAAAAGTTTATCAAAGTCCAACAACTAAAATGAGAAAAAGGCAACGAACTTTTCATAGAACAAAAGTCAAAAACCAAAGAAACTTACCAGTGCTGGAATAAAGACGAATAAGGAGTATCCATACAGGCAAAACAGCTGGACGAGGCCTGATGGTGCTGAGAAGTACTTGAGAACAACATACAAGGCAAGAGGAACCACAGTGACATAGCCATAGAACACACCAGCAGACCATGTCACCAGATTTATGTCATAATCCCATTCTTTTTTCTTGAGCTTGTGCGCTATGTAGGTCACGAAAGTCCCGATAGATGCTGCTACAAATATAAGAGTGGTGCATATCCAGAATGGTCCATACCTGCACAACATTAAAATTTTAAAAATCATGCATGGTCCGATTTGTAGCAAGGAGCAAAGTTGGGTACAGAAGAGACAAGGTGAAACATCAGATGAAACTAAAGCCTTGCACCAATATTTTCTAAAAGACAAGTGTCTTTCATGTCTAAATATTATCCAGAACCAAGAAACCAAAGCCAAACAACCATATTCTTTTCTCTTTTTATTGTGTTCTAAGCACCCATTCCTAAATAAATGTATCTAATCATGAGTAAATAGAAAAAGGAACTTTCTATCTCAAGCTAAAATAAGTTTTCATACATCTACATTCAATGATTATTCAATGCTTAGCTCATTACTCTATTTAAACATAAATGAGTCACGGGGAGAAAACTCACAAATCTGGGTTGGTTGCTGTTTTCTCTGTAAACGTTCCTCTAAATGGAAAGAGTGACTCCTTAAGTCTATCCAAAACATCTGAAGTATCGACATCAAAGTATGGCTTGTATGCACCCACTGTGAATGTACGAAACCAGCCACTTCCTTGTGGTTCATCAGAGCCACCAGCAGGCCTTGAAAATGTATCTGCCTCGATAGAAATGCCATCATTTGCCACCAACATAACAACAAATATTGTTCATGCAACAAGCTAATTAGATTTGTCATTTGAATTACAGCATAGCAGAAATTACATTTGATCTATTTACTTTTGCACAACTATTTGATCAATTTATTCCGATAGCAGCTATCTCAAATATGTCATCAACGTTATGGATCATCTTTCCTACTACAAATACTTTATAAAAACCTGATCTTTAAGTTACAAATTCATTTGCATAAAGCTAATGCAATCAATATACAAAATGCCACAGAGGTCATAAATCCTAGATATAATGCACCAGGATAAACGATTCAAAGCATAGCCACCATCATAAATCCGATTAACTCGAAACAAAAACGAAACTAAAGGAAATTCAAATGAAAAATAATGGGAAATACCATCGGCATCACGAGGAGGTTGAGCTCCACCAGATATCTTCCCCTGAGCACCTGTCGGAGGAAATGTCTGAAGACTCGAATCTACAAATGTAAATAAATAATAATAATTAATTAAAAAAATCAACCATATCCACAAATCAGCTACTTCAAAGCTTAAACAACACTCTAACACTTCATTATCCATTAAACCACACATTCACTTCATTCATTATTTCATTTCCTTTCCTTTCCTACATTCTCCAGCAGCCAAACAACAACTACTACAAAAATACAAGAAAAGAAATCCAGATTCGATAATTTGACAAACAAGAAAAGAGCAAGCACCTGCGAATTTGACGGTGACGTGGCCTGGATCGGAAACCGCCTGATAGATCGAGGATTAAAAAAACAATTAGCGAACGAGATCTGATTGAATTTAGCGCAAAAAACAAAATTAAAATCCAAAATTAAGAATAATAAACAATTAATAAAACTTACGGGTACGGATCCAGAAACTTTCTGATTATCAATGCTGGTATAACCTCCGGACATCATCTTTTCTTCTCCTTTTTTACTTCTTCTCTTCGTTCGAGCAGATCTCTCTCTCTCTCTCTCTCTCTCTCTCTCTCTCTCTGGTTGCAGTCGAGAGGTTTTATTTATTTTATTTTCTTTATTTTACCATTGTTTCTTTGTCTTGTCTTTCTTAAAAGAGCGAAAAGCTTGGATTAAGACAGGATCCAAATCATGGGCTGACGTGAACTGACCCAACTAACAAGCCCACCTGATTTGATTGGGAATTTAAGCTTGGGCTTGAGCTGAATTTCTTTTACTATTAATATTACGTAATTATCTTGAATTTTAATCTTTTTAATTAAAATATAATATCTATAATTTTATTAAAATACACTCTGAAACGTCAATTATTATATTAATAATTTATAATAAAACGGAAATATATTATATATTTGAAATTATTATTTTTCAATTGATGAGGTTTTTATGTTTTTTCTGTTTTTTAATTGTGGAGGGTTGATGAAAATAGGAATGCCCATCTACCCTACCTTGTTTACTCTCCCCAGAGAATGACTAATATTCAGCAACTGGCTAGAAAATTGACTGATAATTTAGCCACCTACTTGGAATGTAATTGATCCTAAACAGCTTGATTGTTGAAACCATAGATTAAACCTTTCACTATACTCTTGAAAATTCAGGCATTGGTAACGTTTTATCACAAAAAATAGTTTCAATCGGTGCATGGCAATGAACGAATCCTACAAAAGTTTCCCCTTCTTTATGCTTGTGCCTGTTCTGGAAGCAGCATATCGTTGCATCTAGGAAGGAATAGCTTCTAATTCTGTTATACAAAAGCTATCCCAACCATGTTCAGGACTCGATTATGGTTTCATTAGAGGGTCACAACTGCAGCATAAGCTGTAATGGAAGGCCATAAACAACCATTTCTCAGGTAGAAGCCATAATGCTTTTCCTTCTTGTAACAGAAAGACAGAGACGAAAATAATAAAATTTCATTCGAACAGAACATGCCGTTCAAGTAATATTACTGTGTCTGTTTTTGCATTGTTCCCTGCATCAGATACAAACTTATTTCAAGGTTGAAGCCACAAGAGATAGCTCTGATTGGTGTTTACCTAAAAGAGAACCTATGTTGCTGCAGCTATGCTTCAAAGAATTCGAGCCTTACCCTATAAATTACAAATGGTTTGTATTCAAATGAAGCGAGATTATTAACTCATCTCCCAATTATAACTGATATTACTCTTGTCACGCATTTTTTAATTTACCCCTTGTAAGTAATAGATACCTTCGGATAACAAGGATAAGAACCCAAGTGGTGGCTGTAATTTTCTCTTTGATCATCAGAAGCAAAGCAGAGCTTAACACTGTCTTTGTGATCTGGGCCTGTAATCCCTTGAAAAAGCCAAGAATCCCTTCCCTTCTCCATATAGCATAGATAACTCCTGACACTGTTTTACGGGATCTTGGTTGAGCTTTCTTAGTTCTATCATCATCATCGGGATCTGCAGCTTGAATCATTACCTTACACCTGCATTGAGCAGATATACAAATTACTTATATAGTCTAATATACAGAATGCTTTTGGAATGGGACAATTTGAGAGAGCAGCTACACACCTAATTGCTGGATAAGTCAAAAAAGTTGCAACACTCTTTGATGCTGCACCTAACAGGAAAGCTGTGAAGGCAGATAGAAACACTGGGGAAGAACCTTTGCCTGCTTCTTTCAGTTTTTGTTTAAGCAGTCGTTGTTTCAGCTGATCAAAAACTGTATACTGCAGTTTACAATAAATTTAGCCTTAGTTATGAGGAAGGTAACTTAAAATAAACAGTAAGATTTGGAATGAAGTTGTGAGGCAAGACAGTCTATTCTTTTAAATTACAAAGCAAGATGTAGAACCTGAATTGCAGGGTTGGAGGTCAGCAAAAGAGAGATGCCAAGGCCATCAAATGCATCACTCAAGGTGCCCTCTGTGAGGGTCTTCCAGAGCCCTTTCGATTTTCCAAAGGCACTTGTCTGCATCCTTGAGGAGGCTGTATCCAGAGGCTACAAAGTGATAAACCAAGAATTCAACATCAAACTCCAAAATTAAAATGTACATGCTCTGGAGTTATGCAAAATTACACAAGATAAAGAAAGATACTTGAAACTTTTTTTGAAAGTCAGATACTTGAAACTCTAATGGCAACAACATCAGTATCTCTTCCACTTTGGTTCAAAAAACAATAGTATTGGTAATACTCTATAATTTCATATATCTGTTACCTGTCTCCATGTAAGTGAAAATAAAGGAGTATTTGTTCAAACTGTCACTCATAATCAAGTATTAGATGGAACTGTCACTTATAATCAGAGATAAGTTGTTCCCTTTTATTGCTCAATTCACACACCAAAGACTTGCATTCTAAATTTCAATTGCATAAAAATTTCATTACTATTCCTTTTTACATTTTTCACAGAAATAGTAAAAAAGGCAGCACATTTTTACTTTCTTGGTTACTTTGTCTTTGCAGCAAACACATGGAATGCTGCCAAACAAGATTAGAAGTCATGGATGGTAATCTACCAATTGAGCACGGAATGTTGAGGATTCCATATTTTTCCAAAGCATCCCCGATAATTCAATCTCCATGTGCTCAATCAAGGAATCTGAAATAGAAATTCAATGTTTTGTCTGGAAAGATAAAAGCTTCTGTCTATTTAAAACAAAGACATGACAGACTTGCCAAATGATGTCTCACCTGAGTGACAATAGCAGTACAAGCCCCTGCTGCAGCAGCAAGAATCAAGTTTGCTTTTGTTCCAATTGATTTGGAACCACTCTTTTCTAGATACAGTCTTTTGAAGTAGCTATATCCATAGAAGTAGACAAATTGTGCAATGAACGACTGCAGGTTTTTGGTGCCTAGACCCTGGTATAAGGAAAGAAATTTGCCGGTAGATATCGCTTCCCATAATACATCTGAGAGGTTCCTATATAAGATAAGAAATTGAGATCAGAAAATGACAAGCTCAATCCAAGAATTTCCTGCATTAGCCAACAGGCATCTAGCAGTAAGGCACACATGTACAAGAAACATCAATGATATCAAATACCACTGCAACAATCACAAGGAATAAACAGTTTGATTTTTCAACCATATGATGAAGAAGGGAAATATGAATGGAAATGGAGAAGGGAAGAAAATTCAGTATTTGCATTGCTCGATAGGGCTTTAAACAATCTGAGCCAAAATGAGCTTAGCTATGTTTAGGCTTAGCTCATTTACATATAAGGTTCTTTTGGCTCGATTTGTGTTTGGTAAGGATTTTTAAATTGATCTTTGAGCTCAGTTCGATTATGTTTGACTAAGTTTGAGATTGAATTTGGTTCAATTCATTAGCTTAAACAAGCTGGTTCATGAATATTAAACAAGTTTATTCATGAAAAATTAATGAACATATTCATAAATTACTGAGGAATCTGTTTGTAAACAATAAATAAACCAACAATCAAACTATTTTAAACAAATAAACTTGAAAGAAAATGTAAACAATAATATAAGAAAAGAGTTATTAAGAAAATATAATTATATTTTAATTTTATTCTAATCAAACAATAAACAAGGTTGCTTTTAAATAAGCTCTCAAGCGATTTATATACCATTTCATAAATGGATAATAAATGTACTTGTTCATGAATAGAAACGAACTAAACACTCATATCATATGTTCAAGCCCGAGCATGTTCATGAGCTGTTTGGTGAACTTATTGGTTCAGTTACAACCCTATTGCTCGAGTTAGAAAAACATAATCTGGTAAAGTAAAAAGCTGCTGAAAAATCATAGTGACTTGTAGCAGTAGACAATCCTCTCAAAAGAATCTCAGATGATTTAGTACGGATGTACTAAAGGGAATTATGGTAATTTGTCACTCACCATACTAATATGGTAAGTTTATTCCTCTACCACTCTCTTCCCTTCGTCACCAATCTAATAAGGTAAGTTTAGGCTGAAGAGTTAGGCCAGAATCAACTCCAACCTTTCAGGTCATCATCTGAGACCCACCACGCCAATATTACACATCAATCACTTACAAAAATGTAAGACAAGTATATGACCAGAAAAAAACAGTAAGGTTACAATGAAATTATCATCACATGATCCAATTCCATTAATATATCTCATTATGCTAGGACTATATTCATTTCAATTAGTAAGTAAATCACATCCATATTATCAACAGCAAGTTTTCACTTGTCAAATTCCTCAAAGCTTGTTCTCTTCCATTGGTAACTCACACAAAAACACAACACAAAAAAAATACATTTTTTAAATTAAAAAGGATAACCTTTAGCCTCACCTACCAATCAAAAACATTGCAAATGAAAGAAGTAAAGGCATAGAAACGAAGAGATCAATTCGACATAAATTGAACCAGACAAACAGAGAAACCAAATTTAGAATTTCCCGGATCATGATCACAACAAAACAAAATAAACCCAAACTTAAAAACATTAAAAAAGCACTAAAATAAGAAATGGGTAACCTGTATTTTTGTTGTCCATGGGCTTGAACCTCGGCTTGGTACTTGGTTTTGCAGGTATCAAGAGGGTACAAAATCGTGGTGCTCAACAGTGACCCTAGAGCACCCGAAGCTGCCTCTGATAAAGACTCTAAATCAACACCCATCTTTTAAAAACAAAATCCTTCTTTATTTTTCTCTATGTTTCTCTGTCTCGGGCTTGGGAATTGAAAGCTGAATCTAATGAAATCGTTCGAGCTGGTTTTTATACGTAGGAAACAGAAAGAAATGGAAGGTAGCTGGAAAAAGAAAACGCAAGGATGATGGAGACTGGTGGCGTCTCTCATTGGGATTTGAAAAAACGTGGGATTTGCCGTCCATTTTAACGCTGCTTAACGTCGCTTGTTTGGCTTTTGTCGGATCACGGGATTGGTAAGTTCATAGAAAGTCACCCGAGTCAACTACTACTTGCACGTGAAAGTAACGGCGTGTTTCTTTTACTTTCTTTTCCCATTTTTTTTAATTTTTTCTTATTTCCTAATTACATTTCCAATTAAAACAATAATTCATTCTCTGTATTTTAATTAAACCGATTAAAACAATAATTAATGACAGGAATATTCAATTGTTAAATTTATTTATATGATTTATTTTGATCACCTGAACTATTTTTTTATAGACCAACTACTTTGTTTCAAATAATTAATTTGACTTTTTTTCCATTTATAATTGCATTTATAATTACCAAAAATTGATAACAAAATTGAGAATTTTAGATCCTCAAAATATATAATCAGTTTACAAAAAAAAATCCTCTGTGTTATATCACATCATTAAGATTATGCTATGTTATTTAATTCAATGGTTGTAAATCAATACCGTTAACAATTGTTTTTAACTCGATATTTAATAAAAGTATAAAGATTAAATATGTTGAAATTGTAATAATAGAACTAAATCTTTAAAATTGGTTGGAGTAATAATTAAATTTTGGCATAATATTTAAAAAAAATCTAAATTACTTAATAAAATTTAAATAAGTCTTTATACTATTTTGTTCAATCAAGTATTTATATTTTTATTTTAAATCAAACAAGCTCTTATATTTTTATTTACAATTAAATAAACCTTTATGACTAATGGTTAATTTAATTAAACTATTATTTATCATTTTATACCATATAGAGCTAATTTGATATGCTCATATGTTATAGTTGATAATGATGTGTTATGCCGATATCATAATTGATGATAACATGATATACTAATTTGATATGATAACATGATTATGTAGTATTTTTTACCATCTACATTAACATCAATATCAATATCATGTTAGTGTCATATAAATATAAAATAATAAATAATATTTTGATTAATGAAAATTAAGTAATATTAGTTATAAAGGTTTATTTAACAAAAAAAAGTACAGCGATTTGATTAGACGTAATAAAAGAATAAGAATTTACTTGAATTTTCTTGAGCACTATGCCTTAAATTTTTGTAATTTGAGACTCTTTAACAAAATTTATTTGGATTAAAGAGGAGAAATATATGGATAATAACCTTTTTAAAAAAATAAAATCGATGTTAGATCATTTACTCCAACTTCAAAATTAAGGTATAAATGCATAATTTTTATATTCATTTTATGATTGTTTTTAAATAATGTTAACCAGTGATGAAGTCAAAATTTCACGTTGAAAACAACAAAAATTAAAAATTCAATATTTGTAGGAATAAAATTATAAAATATTAATAAAATAAGAGTAAAACTATAATTTTATTTAAAGGAAAAAGTTATTAAATTTTAAATTTTTGAAGGGGCAAAGGCTCCTTCTAGGCCCCTTCCCCTCCGTTCGCCTATGATGGTAGTGATATGGTTCTATTGTCAAATTCATGATCATTTATTATTGATATGAATAAATTAATTAAAAATTATTTCCATAAAAGAATAGGTAAATTAAATCACAAGAACTTGTCTAGACAATAATAATAATAATAATAAATTTAACTTTTAAATTTAATAAAAATTAAAAACTTTATTAATATAATAAAACAATAAAAAAGAAGAAAACAACATTGAAAGGAAGAGAGAATGAACTAGGAGAAATAGAAATTTATTATCGAAAACCTAAAAAAAAAGAAATTCAATTTATTAAATTTGAGATTATGAAAGTTGGGGGAAAAAAAGGAAAAAGAATATTTAAATAAAAAAAGCTATAAGGAGCCAGAATTGAACAAATTAATGGGGAAGTAGTTGTCAAACTTTTCAAATTGTTCAAATTGGACCCTCTTTTATCTTCAAATCCAAACTTGTGTGCTCAAGGAAACCAGTGGGCTACAAATGGAAGTTTCCTTGAAAACCAGAACATAAAATAGTATGAAAGGGCCTCAACACCCATCTATTTGCCATCTAGCATTTCATTACCAGGACCTTGTAAATTCACACTTTATAATACGAAGGTCTTTTTCTTTTCTATAATATCTCAAAATACAAAATATATAATATTAGAAAAAAATTAAATTCTTTAAAAAATATAAATAAACTCTTATTTTTTACTAAGTTCGATGAAGTTTTTATATATTTAGCTTGGATTAAATAAATCCTTATAACTAACGATTGATTAATTATTGTTAGTCAAAATATTGCTTGTCATTTTAAATTTACTTGAATTTTTTTAAATAGTTCAACAGTATTTTAAGTATTATGCTAAAAATATTTTTCTTAACAATAAAAAATAGAAATAAAGTTTAAATTTAATAAAATATCATATCTGACATCAAATATAACTGTGATGAATGATGAGATTTACATATCGATTAAAGTCAATCATAATTAACAATCGACCCATTATTCATAATTACATCTTATATGGAATGAAATATTATATTTAATAACAAATTACTTGTTATTTTATATCCACGTAATATTTATATGATAAATAAAAATATTATATGGCCATATCATTATACTATATCTATATATCATATTATCATCCATCATGATATGTCAACATGCTATGTTGTGGCCCATAACATAACTTAATAAATGGTATTATAACTAATAATAGTTAATCAATTATTAGTCATAAAAACTTATTTGATTTAAAATAAAAATATAAAACTTGATTAAATAGAATAAAATAATAAAAACTTAAATTTTTTTAAATAGTTTAGAGATGTTTTAAGTATTATGCTAAAAATGATTTTCTTAACATAAAAAATAGAAATAAAGTTTAAATTTAATAAAATACCATATTCAACATTAGATATAAATATGATGAGATTTACATAACGCTTAAAGTCAATCATAATTAATAACCGACCCGTTATTCATAATTACATCTTATATGGAATGAAATATTACATTTAATAATATTTTGACTGAATATTTGAAATTTTTTAAAAACATAAACCCTTTATTTGATGGTAAAAAGAAAAAGAAAAAGGTAGAAAGGAGATTATCAATATATGTTAAAATTTTACATTATTTTAGTATAATAAAGTTTATGCAACAAATATTGATGAGAAGAGAAGAATATGAGCATCATGGGTTAAGATATCATTCCTTTTTAAAAGTCTAAATGATGCAAAAGTAAACAATTTTGATAGTAAGTCAAAGCATTACAATTTATATGTATTTTATTGTCTTAATTAATTGTATATCTTTACATGTGTTTTAAGTGTATAACCTAATAATTATGAGTGTTAGGAGAAAAGAAATGTTATATTATATATGGATGGACGGTTAAGGTTAAAATCTCGAGATTAATTTATTTTAATTAAAATATTTTTAAAATAATAATTTCATGATATTCTTTCTATAAAAAAAGAAATTCATGATATTCTAAGATATATTATTTGATACATTTTTAGAGAAAGGCAAGAAAATGTGCTTCCAAAGGTCAACGAAAATCTAATACATTGGATCAAGTTTTGTTCTTTCCTATATTGGTTTCATTTTTCTTTTTATTTTTTATTTTCTCAAAACTTATTAAAAAGTAAAAAGTAAAAAAAAAAACAAAATCACAATGAAAATGGAAAATTGAATTTTGTTTAATTCTGTTATGAATGAAATCTTGACCGTCCATAGCCACATTAGAATCAACGGCTGCGATCGTCCAAACAGAAAAACGGCGCTCTGCGTTCCGAACAAAGACAAATTAAAATTAAATAATTTTTTAAAAAAAGAAATTTACCAACACCTTCTTTTTGGGTTTTTGAGTCCGGGATACTTCTGCGCTAACTTTCCCAAAAGGAGCGCTTCCACCGAATCGACCGCCTCCACCGTCTCGACCTCCACCTCCGCCCCTTCCTAGGGTTTTCGGGGGCCTCTCATCAGCAACCAGAACAAGAATCCTTTCTCTGTTATCCACCTTAATCTTCAGGTTTATTACCTTCCAGGCCTCTGCTTGAACTCTTCCTTCCATTTCTTGTTTCTCAAATCCATAATTTATCCGTCCACCTCACCAGTTATTCCACGTTTTGACACTGCGTGTTTAGCCATTTCCACCTCACTTTCTTAAGTCTCTGATTAACTATGGTTTATTTAATTGTTTATTTATTTATTTACTCTTTTTATGGTAGCTTTTTAAAAACTTTTTGATGGCGAAATCTTCGAATCCGGAGGGGAAGACCGGGGTCCGAATCGTGGTGGCCGGAGACCGAGGCACTGGAAAGTCGAGCTTGATTGTGACCGCCGCCGCCGACACTTTCGCGGCGAATGTTCCCCGGTTGTTACCGCCTACTCGGTTGCCAGAAGATTTTTACCCCGACCGTGTACCAATCACCATCATCGACACCTCGTCCAAGTATATTTTTATTCATTACTCTCTTTATTAATTCTTTTTTTTCTGGTAAATATTTGAAGCAATTTCTAGTGTTATTTTGAGCTGTCGATTTTAACTATTTAAAAATGAAATTATAGTGATAGGATTCTAAATTTCGTGTAATAGTTTTAGCTGCAACTTAGCTAACACTAAGTTTAACGCAATAAAGAAGCAGAATGTGATCAGGTAATTTCTCGTTTGTTTTGATTCTTGGCGTGTTTTTGGTTTAAGTTTTGAATATTTTTATTTATTTATTTATTTTTAATGGGTTTATTAGTCCGGAGGATAGAGGTAAACTAGCAGAAGAGCTGAAGCGAGCAGATGCGGTTGTGCTTACTTATGCATGTGATCAGCCTGAAACTCTTAACAGATTGAGTACTTTCTGGCTTCCAGAACTTCGCCAATTAGAGGTTGCCATCTTAATTTGTATTGTTCTCATGTATTTATGCTTATTGTTTTGATAGAAAGCATGCTGAGGGGCAGTTATCTTGTTCAGCAGTTTTTAACTATGTTCTTCCAACTCTTAATTCTACTTCATGTGCCTTTGTTGGACAAGTATCAAACACTACAAGGTTGATGTCGGTATGAGGACAATAACTTTTTTATTTTTTCGGTATGAATATAAGGAAATACTCCCAAGATATCACATCTGATGTTGTTACAATAACTTTGGAAAAATTTGTTAATTGCTTTCGGCAGCTAATTGGCTCACTCAAGATTTCACCATTCTTGAATGTAGAGCGTTATTTTGCTTAGTTCACCTTTTAGATCATTTGGAGTAATTTTGTCTTCATGAATCTGCTTTTGCAGAAACTGAGCTAAATTTTTGTTGAGCAGGTGAAAGTGCCTGTCATAGTAGTTGGCTGTAGGCTGGATTTAAGAGATGAGCTGCAGCAAGTGAGCTTGGAGCAGGTGATGTCACCGATAATGCAACAGTTTCGGGAGATTGAAACTTGTATTGAGTGTTCAGCATATAAACACATTCAGGTATGTCTCTGAGCCCTTGTTTTGTTTCTTTTTGAGGTTACAATGAGATACCAATGCTATAACCATGCTGATGAAATGTAGATTGGTTTTAGCACCAGTTCCTGTGTTTGGATCTTATTTGCACAAATGTGACAATTGGCATCATTTTAGTTAGTGTGACACTAATTGATATTTGTAGAACACATTGATACTATCAGGGATTAAACTTTTAAAGTATCTCCCTTTTGTAGATCCCTGAGGTTTTCTACTATGCACAAAAGGCAGTGCTTCATCCAACTGGCCCACTTTTTGATCAGGAATCACAAACTCTGAAGCCACGGTGTGTGAGAGCCTTGAAGCGAATTTTTATTCTCTGCGATCATGACAGGGATGGTGCTCTTAGCGATGCGGAGTTAAATGATTTTCAGGTTCCACATTTGTTCTTTGATTTATTTATTGCCTTTTACTTTTGAGTTTGTTGGGGTGAGGTGGGGAGATGGGTTGAATATGCAGTTGTCTCATAAATAATGATTGTCCTATTCACTGCTTGATGTGTTGAATGTTGATCTTTTGATACATGAAACAGACAATTTGTCAATGTTAACTCAAGATATGTTGTGCTTGAGCATTTTGAAGAATCTAATAATTTGTTGTATGCAGGTCAAATGTTTCAATGCTCCATTACAACCTTCAGAAATAGTTGGTGTTAAACGAGTTGTGCAAGATAAGTTGGTTGAAGGAGTTAATGAACGCGGTCTTACATTGACTGGTTTTCTATTTCTTCATGCACTATTCATAGAAAAAGGACGCCTTGAGACGACATGGACTGTCCTGAGGAAATTTGGATATAATAACGATATCAAACTTTCAGACGATCTAATTCCTCATTCATCATTTAAACGAGCTCCTGATCAGGTAATTCTTCATTGAAATAGACATTTTCCATTTTATGAAAACACTGAAATAAGCATTTATGGCCTTTGATTTTCATTTTAACTCAGCAGTGTCTGATACATCATTGTTTGCTTATAAATTGTACATATGAGTATTAGTAAGAATACTGGTAATAATTTCATCTGCTATAGACTGAATTTTTTTATATGCCTCCGGATTCACAGATGGCTGTTCTTATTGATTCTAAATTAGATTGCCATTGGAATGCCTAGCTGTGGTTTAAAGATGAGCAGTGCCTAAAGCAGCTGATATTAGACGAATTATGCTTCATTCTGTTTTAAATTGGCATAAGATACTAAAATTTTCATCTTATTATGCTCTACTGTTGCATTATTTAAACTTTTTTGTTATGACTCTTTGCTATGATCTGTTGTCATTTGTGTAGAGTGTGGAGCTGACAAATGAAGCTATTGAATTCCTGAAGGGAATCTATGAATTGTTTGACAGTGACTTAGTATGTCTCAGTCTTTACCTCATTTATTTTAATTGCCCTTGCTATTATCCGGTTTACAAATATTTACTAACTTCTTGTTGAAGTTCTAACAATTGGAATATTGTTCTTTTCAGGACGATAACCTTCGGCCTATTGAAGTTGAGGATGTTTTTTCAACTGCTCCAGAAAGGTATTATGGTTCCCAATTTGAAATATATTAGTTTAATTTCTTTCGCTAAATTGGCCAGGATGTCTTTTCTTTCTCAAACTTTTTTCCTTTTTTCTTTTGTCTGAGAGAGGGAGGGGAGCATAACAATTCATCTTTCCACAAGAGCAGGATCCTGTAAATAACAGGCTGCTGTTGACTAAATCACTACTAAAAAATCTACATTTACAGAGGATGAGGAATTTTATTTTCAAAAACTGTTATAACAAGCTGCATGTAACTAAGAATTTTCATTTATAGATGATTTTATTATTATAAGTTGCCACTGGGACGTTGTTATGGATAATGCTTGACATGTTTCTGTTTAACTTCAGTCCTTGGAATGATGCTCCATATAAGGATGCTGCAGAAAAAACTGCACTGGGAGGGCTATCACTTGATGCATTTTTGTCAGAGGTATTCATGGTTTTTGCTCTCTCTTGAGAATGGGAATATTGTACTTTATTCAATCTCATTGGAATTAGCTCATTTCTTGGATAAGCAAAGTCACAGAAAACTTTTACACATATCAGGCTTACTAAAACCTTACTGTGTTTATATTCCACTTGCTCTTGTTTGGAGCTTTGCAGTTCAACCATAATGGATTATGGAAATAATGAATGGCACCTTTGTAATCATTCGTGGCTGCTTATGGAAATGTAGTACTTCCCTTTCTTTTGCAGGCGATGGGGCTATTTGGTTGGTCATTACCGCATAGTTTTGCTCTTATAGATCAGTCTGTGGCCCTTCAAACGAAAAAAAAAAAGGGATCAGTCTGTGCTGATAATTTATGAGATATGTTGTGTACTGCAGTGGGCTCTTATGACACTTCTAGACCCAGCTCGTAGTGTGGAGAATTTGATATACATTGGATATCCTGGTGATGCTTCCTCTGCCATCCGTGTGACTAGGAGAAGGCGTTTAGATCGGAAGAAGCAACAATCAGAAAGAAATGTTTTCCAGTGCTTTCTTTTTGGTCCAACAAATGCTGGGAAATCTGCATTAATGAATTCTTTTCTTGGCAGGTCTATCAATCGAAATTCTGTTCTTGATACCTAATCTTTTTACCCCCCATTTTTTTAACTTTGTTTACTATAATATAGGCCCTATTCTGATTCATATTCTCCAACTACTGATGAGCGATATGCTGTGAATGTTGTGGAACTACCTGGGGTAAGTGGCATTACTTGTGCACCATTTGTTGTGATTGCTATATTGAAAGCAATCCCCCACCTCAAAACATAGGGATGTACTTTTGTCATTTCAGGGGATCTGTTGATATTCTAGCTCTGGGGCTTAGTGTATGTTTTTTTGTTTCGTTTGTAGGGAATAAAGAAAACTCTGGTCTTGCGAGAAATCCCTGAAGATGGAGTCAGAAAACTCCTGTCTACTAAAGATTCATTGGCTGCCTGTGACATAGCAGTATTTGTCCATGACAGGTAAATCGAGGTCGTGATTATTTTAAAGTAGGATTTTAAATTTGGAGGTATCTGTTATTATTAGTGAAATATTTTCAGATATGTGATCATGCTTGTGCAAAAGGGTTTTTCATGTGCTTCTAATGCACTGTCTTCTGTGGCGACTATAGATAATTATATCTTTGTGTGTTCAAGGCTTGGATTTTGTAAACGTACATTGAGATGCGTATGCACATGTTAATGGTTTCTTTTGCTAAGCCTTATGTTATGGTTGTTTTACATTTGCAGTTCTGATGAGTCTTCATGGAAGAGAGCAACTGAATTACTTGTGGATGTCGCTGGTCATGGTGAAGACACCGGTTATGAGGTGCCTTGCCTGATTGTTGCTGCTAAAGATGATCTGGATTCATTTCCAATGGCAATACAGGATTCCACCAGGGTATTGTGCTTTAGTTGTTTTTTTAATAATTTAATTTCTTGCATAGTTTTACACGTCACCATCGCATTATTTAATTGCATAGCATCTCAATATATTTTGTATGCAAGTTGAGTAAAGGCCTTTATTAAAAATATTCTCTGAGTTCTCTCATCATGCTGGTGAGACTCGGAGATATTCTTTCACCTAGGGAATTTTCGAGGCATAGTAAAGTAAATATGCAGGGTGTCTTAGAGGAGTCATAAAATGAAAATTTTTTGCTTCAAGTGCTTGAAGAGGTGCAATGTATTTTCATTTGACTTTGGTCTCTTTGTGATAGGATAATTGTTGAACAAGTCCTTCTAAATTTTCATCTTGAAGAAACTGAGTGAAAGTGTAATGTGTTGCAAATTTTGCTTTTGCAGGTTAGTCAGGATATGGGGATTGATGCACCTATACCTATCAGCTCAAAATTGGGTGATTTCAATAACATATTCCGAACGATTGTAAATGCAGCTGAGCATCCTCATTTGAGCATTCCTGAAACCGAGGCTGGGAGAAGCCGGAAGCAATACCATCGGCTCATAAACCGTTCTCTCATGTTTGTTTCAGGTATGCTGATCTTCTGGCATCTGACGACTGTTTTATTCTTGATGCACTTGAAGCTTGTGGTTCTTGAAAATTTTGTTTACCATGGTTAGATTTTGTGATGACTTTCTTTTCCTTTGTCGACTTGCATACAATGTGTGCACATTAATTCTTGACAAGATTTAGCTATGATTCTGTTTAAGCCTGTAGAGGATATTCAAACACTTTGGCTAACTGTTCCCTTTAAGGGATGCTGTGCTTTTCTTGGAGGATTAATCTGAGATGGTACTCCTTGTATTGCTTCAAAGTAGCTTTGACTTGGATTGCGCTGCTCTTTCTTTTTCCTGAGTCACCATGTTTTCATTAGTTTAATTGACGTTCACTATTCTGAGTTGTTAATCATTTTCAATGCTGTGTTTCACTTTTTGCAGTTGGAGCTGCTGTAGCTATCGTCGGATTGGCAGCTTACCGCGTATATGCTGCAAGGAAGAGTGCCTCCAGTTAAGGGATGACGATTCTCCCACCTGCAAGACACTAATGTGGTTTATGCCATCTTCTTCTAGACACAGTTGACTGTTCCATGCTTTATCAAATTGCAGCTGCCCACTTTTCTGGGTTATATTGAAAATCTTCATCTGTAGAAAAAACTGCAAAATTCTGTTTGTCATTTTAGGGGTGGAAGAGTTTGATCTGTAGAATAGTAAGAGAAAGCAAAAATACGATTGAACAAGTTATTGTGCAAGGGTTGTGCGATAAGAAAAAAATTTTGCTGCAGAATTTTAACCATTTTGTTGCTATGCTCATTGCTTTTCTGTCAAACAACTTTATGTTGTTGTACATGTTGAACTACAATCGAATACTGGCACAGGTGTGGCATTTCCAGTTCCCCCTCCTCTATGTTTGGATCTTCTTCTTCTTTTTCCTTTTTTAGGAATTTTCAGGATTCGATCGAACAATGCTGAAGGAGAGGGGTTCAAATTGTTGGGTCTTCGACCTCCTAGGTAGAACAGGCTCTGCCTCGGTGACCTCGAAGTTTAGGTCCTCGCTTGGTTTCATCTTTCTTTGGCCGAGCTCCGAGCAAATGGCCTTGAATTTGCTGATTAGGTTGGTAAGCTGCAGCGCCTTCTCTTTCTATCTTCAAACAATACTTGTTGAAGACCTCGGTCGTGACATGGAGTCTGAAATCCAAACTGAATAAGAACCTCATCTCCAACTCGTTCATTTCCTCTGTGCTAACTCCTCCCACTTTGGCGTAATACGCATTGTTGTAACAACTGCAGATAGCCTGAATCATTGTTATGAAAGTGGCGATGGAAACAAACAACATTTGCAACACAACAGACTAATCTTCTTGACATTCTCTATAAAACATACGAAGACAGGACCCTTTTTTTACATGACACAGTTTGTGATGTTTTTTTTTTTTTAATTAACATCACGTGTATATAGTTTGTGTTCTCATAAAAAGTTATATCGTTAAATGTTAACTTTATCGATAAAATTATATAAATATTTTTAATAATGAACAAATTAATTAATTTTTAAATTAAAAGAATTTTGATAATTTTATTGAATTAAATTAATAATGTAACTCTTATGAGAACAAAATTTATTTATATCATTATCGTGAAAAAAAGTTGAAATCACAAAAAATATAGATGAAATTTATAATATATTAAAAAAACATCTTATTTTCTAGTCTCATGACGTGAGGTTGGAAATATGAAAAATAGTCATAAAAATTAAAACATGCTTACTGGTCATCAATAAATTTTGCAGCCACCATGAAACTTGTAATCAGGAGACGATGCACGTTGAGGGAAGTAAGATGAGCATCCATTCTTTCCAGGAACCTGTCGACATATACAAGTGCAACAACAAAGCAAGAATTGCTGCATTTGGAGTACTTGAAGATGCGTTCCACATATTGTCTAATGCTCAGGGCAGGTGCTTTTGTACCATGGAATATGGTAACAACATCCATCCTCCTTGATCCGCCTACCAGCTTTTCATTCCTCTGGATGGACCTTTCCAGGATAGAAGACAGAAGGGATAAAACTCTGGGAGCTCCTGGAACCCAGTTACCAGATTTATCTATTCCTAAACAAGCATAAGGATCAGACTTCACAGCCTTGCCTTTGATCATCATTGTTCCTATGCTTAACCAAAGCTGCAAATCATCACAAACAGAAACAAACTCATGTTATAAGCTCATGGTTTCATCTTCTCAGCTTTGTTTTCTGTTGAAATCTTTGTTTGCGCAGTGAATGTAAAGTAGCTTTGTCAGGTTTTTGTTCTTTTCTTTGAGTGGAAGTCACAAAGGAAAGTAGAATTAAAGAACTTCATTCCTGGTGGGCCAGCTTTGAATCATCCTTTTCCTGAGAGACTAGAGGCACCCGGGAACAGTATATTTGCAGCAGAAACAAGAAAAAAGAGAGACACATAAGGTGATTCAGGGAAAGAGCTCGCTGGGTGATTCAGGGAATAAACACAATCCTGAAACAAAAGTTTCCCACCTTCCATCACATCTCAGGAACCTGTAGAACAGTTGGAGAAGCAGTAGCAGAAGCAGGATAGAATGTTTCCAAATCTGATAAATTCAATGAATTCTGTGTCAATTTGCTCTAACAGGAAATTCCTTCTCCTGCAGGTAGAACAAGAACATAAGCTAGCAAACTAGATAACCCACTTTCTAGTGAGATTCCACCAAGTAAGGTGACAAAAGGAAATTTCTTCTTTTTGAACATAATTGTTGAAGCATTTGCTCCAATTGATATAATCATGATATTCCAAATTTGTGGAGAATTACTTAAGAATAATCCTCTTTGTAGTTATGGTCCAAACCAAATTGAAGGAATCTTGGTTCATTGTAGACCTAAAAGGATATAGAAAGTGATTTTCCTTGTAATCTTATATTATTAATTAAAACCCTTTTTTTTTCTAATCCTCAAAAATGTTGGAACCTTTCGTCGTGGCCATATTCTTTTCTTTTCACACCATTTGTGCTCTAGTAGGAATGATGTAAGATCCCAAATTTCTCAGTTGGTCTTTGAGGTAAGAAAATGGCTTTGGGTATAGGCTTATAGTCTTTAATTTGGGATCAAATTACTTGATAAGGAGTAATTTATATCCTTTTAATCTCCATTTTTGTGGTAATAATGATGCAATGGTATTGAAATAATTTATCAAAACTCAGATTGGTAGCCATACTGGACCTTATTTTTTTTTCCCTTTTCTTCTCAAATTAAGATTTAATTCATTAACACACTACATTAATAGTTAAATTATGTTTTTCCGTTTCATTCATAATTATTATTTTTTTGATAGGGTGTTGGATCATGAAAATTCCTTACCTCGAGCCCTCAACCAAGGTAAATGTAACTTCTGACTCTGTCGATCAGATTATCGGTGGTTTGTTCACCATATGATGATGTGCCTACTACTACATATGTGGAGCTCCGATTTCTATTCAAGCTATTCAGATTATCGGTAGTTCGTTCACCGCATTAAAATTTGACACCTACTAATCCATTAGATCCTCTGTTTCACAATGCCTTAACTGATGGGGTACTTGTATTCACAGAAACAAAAGAGAAGATTGCTGCCAATTTGGCGAACTTTGCTTATGGTCCATATAATTATTCATTCTTGCGCCAGGTTCAAAACCCAATTTTTTATGAAATAATTTGTCCTAAAATTTGAGTAATGTCTCTCATATACTTTTCTGTCACACTAACATCTTACTTTCTTGTGAAAAGCTTGTGGAATTTGGATTCGGAAATATCAGCAATTCTTGTGTAGGTAAGTCTGGGCCTTCAATTCTTAAATTATGGTTTTCTATCTTGTTATTGATGATAGCCTTTGCATCATGAGTACATTTTTTTTTCCTTTGCAGATCCAGCAAATGCTGCTATTATCACTCAGTGTGATGGAATCCCTCTTGCCATTCAGTGTTTATCAAGCCCAGTCAGAAATACAGTGAGAGGAAAAACTTCTGTTCTTGGTTATCTCTTTTTCCCCCCTAGTTGTTTTAAGTTCCTAGAGATAGAACTTGAGACAGTGCATTGTACTAAATTCATCATAAACTCCCTCTCTTTCTCTCCCTCCCTCTCAAAGTTTGTATGTTGGACAGAACTTGGGAGTTTAGCTTATGGTGCATAGCTAACTAGCATCTAGTTTTTACTTACTGGAATTGGTTTAGCTCAGGAAAAAAAATATAGTATTAGGGAACTTCATGGGGCCTACTTATATTAGGGAACTACATCTATTATACCTGCTGTGAATTAATGCAAGAATTTGATGTACTAAAGCAGCTGGTGTTTAACTATGCTATATGTATACACATCTGAGAAACCTAATAATTGATTGTCAGGTGCATTAGGCCCTGGGGGCACTTTATTATCTTTGTAACAAGTCTAACAGGGTGGAGATTCTAAAGCCTGAAATTGTTGATGTCATTGAGAGGTATGCCACAGCTCAAACTGTAAATGTAAGCTTCACTAATCTGGCCAAAGCATTTCTGGACAAGCATGTCTCTAAGGACAAGTAAGGTATGAATCCCACTTTTCAGGAATGATGTTTAACAGTGTTATTGATTTCATCCTGAACAGAGTCTATTGACAATCTGATTTTGAAGTGCACGGCAACTAGAGCTTTCTGGTCTG